AAAAAAAAAAAAAAAAAAAAAAAAAAAAAAAAAAAAAAAAAAAAAAAATTGCAAACAGTTACTCCTCTTGTTACCATCTGTGAAAAATAGACCATCACGGGTTACAAATTGAGTGAGCACCAAATACCACTGACCGAAGATCAAAGGATAATAATACACGGCACCGTGGAGTCAAAGGTAGATCGGTTGTGAGCCTCGTGATATGGCAAATTAAGCCAGTAGTTCCGGCGACGTAGTGCGTCAAGTGTTTCGATAAAGACTGGCGGCTTCATAAATTATCAAGCTTCTCTTAATTGGTCTGCTTGCCCATATGTTCTATTGAGATCGGGGTATTTCCACCCACTCCAGGAGTGTCGCCAAAACATGAATCAGAGAGTACCAAAAACGCCAAACACCCCTGCCCGCCTCCCTAAGCACTCGTATATATCCCCTCGAGAGCAAGTACACGCCAGTCATGTGATACATCCGCCTAGCCTTTTCGTTTCCAGAGTCTTACACTCCTCTTTCTATGGCACAACTCACTTTTGAGCAGCAATACAAAGACGTAATCACCGTTTCTATATTACATTGCCTGCCATGCCCATGAAGAGCGCATGTACCGCCAAGCTCAGAGTCCAGAAGCCGACCTTCTTCAGGCGGCGGACACGGCTCTGTTGGTCTTCCACATCCCGAGCAAACGCATCGTACACCTCGGCCGAGACGTCGGTCATCAGTCCACAATCGAAGACCGACCACGCGCCATCGAAGTCGGAAGAGCGCTTGACGATCCGGCAGCCGATGGGAATGTACGTCTTCTTGGCGTTGATGTATGCTACAATCGGGCGCACGAGCGCCTGGTTCACGTACGACAGGCTCGACGTGAAGACAGGCACCGTGGCCTTAACGTCGTTGAGATGGATTCGTAGATCCATGACTAGGTAGCGGGGTGGTTCGTCATCCTTGGACGGGCTTGCCGGTGTGGAGGCAGCGTCCTGGGAGACTGGGTCCGCAGGCTTGGCCTCTGGATCTGATTCATCAATCACAGGGATCTGGTATGCCTCCTCAAAGGTTCCGCTGCGCATATTTTCGTCGCCTTCTTCCTGGAGACGTCGCTTGTTTCTGTCGAGAATTTGGAGGTAGCGGTTGGAGGTAACAGCCTCTTCTAGACGATCATAGAAGTCGGACATCACTTTGGTGATGCTATCGTCGTCGTCATTGGGGAACATGACGTCGGCGACAATGTCAACATTGCCCTCATAAATCCATCCGAATGGGCCCTCATCGCCTCTGTTCAAATGGTCGATTCGGAGACCGTCTATCCGCAGGCGGCTGAACTTCTTCCACGCATCCGGCTCGCCCAAGTCAGTGGAAAACCGTTCTTGACCAGCAGCAACTCCGTGAACTTGGCGGGGATGTATCGTGAAAAGCGAGCCATCGTAGGAACCCGACATGTGGTTCGCCGATAGCATGTCGTAAAAGAGGTATTGCTTCCGGAGCTGCGGAAGCTCGCAGGAGTAAATACTGACGGAGAAGGGACGGAAGCCGCCTGGCTGATGTACAGTAACCAGGAGATCTTCCATCTTGAAAGATTCGATCTCAAAATCGCCCGGGTTGTGCTCATGCCGATAGGACAGGGGATCTACATTACCCCCTGACCAGTGCACATGTGTCCTGTCAATAACACCTCGGACTCCTTTGATTTCTACGTCCTTCAGGAACCCTTTTCCATTCCACCACTTGGCAAAAGACACTGTGACATTCACCGTGTTGAGGGTGACGTCAAACTGTGTGTAGTTGCCATCATCTACCTCCCAGGCCTCCTCTTTGGGTCGCTCGGCAGCGGCGGCTGCGGCAGCGCTAGAAGGAGAACCTTTGCTAACGGAAGACTTTGTCTGTCCGGGTCGCCGCGACACGAAGACGTTCCTGAAGGAGATGACTCCATCTCCCCATCTGGGGACAATAGCAGACTCGAATATGACGGTCAAGCCTGCAGACTCGGTGAGGTAGTTGCCCACCTTCTTTGCCAGCCATTCTAGAGCGTAGTCAGTATGGAGCAAGATCTGTTGGTTACTATCTTCATAACTTACCTTGGGCAGAGACGGTGTTGACCAGGAACAGCAGTCCGGAGACAAAAGTGGTTGTCCCGACCAGGATCCAGACAAGATGACCGAAGAGGAAGAATGAGAGGAATGCACCCCATTCATCAGTGTTCCAAGGTCGCATACTCCTGATGGAGAACCACTTGAATCGGACTTTCAACCGTTCCCAGAACCCGTTCGCTGCTGCCAGAAACTCCTCCTTTGTGGGTCGGTGTGGAAGATGTACGTTGGGGAGATGGAAATAGTTCGAGATATAGTTGTGCTCTTGCGTCGACTCGGCCTCGGGAGCCTTCGTCTCGGACTTGGCTGCGGAGGGTGACTTCACAGGCTCATTTTGAGACTTTGCAGCAGCAGTAGCTTTGCTTGCACCGGTGTTCGACTTGGTGCTTTTCTTTCTCCTCATCGTTGCATGTGGTCGCCTCCTCCTTCCGGTGTGGATGCCTCTCTGCCATGGTTGCCGGGCTAGCTTGAGCAGGTCTGCTTTCTGTGACACATTTGCCAGCAGACCCGAATCGGCCGCGGCGGTACAAGTCGCAACGACGGTGCCTGTACTCGAGGTTGGTGGACTGAAGCTGGCGAGCAGAAGCCCGCCCGAAGTGAAGCTGCGCCGCACATTGTAGCCGGAGGCTTTCGGCGACTTCGGAAAGGCCCAGGATGAAAAATTCGAAGGTCGGCCGAAAGTCGCAGAGGAATGATAAGAGCTGGACGGGCTTGTTTGCCAGCGGCTCACTGGGTTGCGTCTCGAGGGCGCGCGCACAGTCAGGAAGTCCAGGGACTCGTAGAGCGATCTCCAGGCGTGCCGCCCGAAGAGCGTCGTTCTAGCTGTAGACGACATTGCGAGAGCTCATGGTGATCTGCGGTGTTGAACAAGCAGACAGTCCTCGAACGAGTTGGAGGGATTAGATAGCCATGGGCGAGTGAGTCACGGCCAGCTGCGTCGACTTGCTTATCAAAACAACAACATTAGCATCAACGCATAAGGCACGATGGAGGCTAGACAAGCAGACGGCCCATGGAGCATGAAATGTCAATCAGGGTATGGGCTCGCGCAGCAAATCTCGTCATCAGAATATCCATGACGCGCTAGCGATGCGTCCGGGTCGACCTGCGCTATGCTGGAAACCGCCAAGCTCCAAGAAAAAAATCCGCTGATCCCCCAGCCCAGCCACTGGACTGGGCCGACTGGTGGCTGCTGGCTGCTGTCTGCCCAGCAAGCCAGCCCAGCCCAGGCCACCGGGCAAGCCGGGCCCCCCTAAGACGGCACTCTACGTCCACAGTAGCTAGGATGCGCGGGTACCCTCCAGTGTAGCGAGGCCGTGCGGCAGAGAACCTTAGGGGTCTTGTCGGTCTCCCAAGCTGCCAACCCCCCCAAACCCAAGCAGGCCAAGCTGCTGGACCGCTGGCTTATCGTTATCGGGCTATCGAGAAGAACCTACCCCACGTACATAAAAATTATTTGGGCGGAAGGCGGTATCGATATCCACTGAGCCCGCCCAGATCGTGAACCCTCGCTACCCAGCGTCGTGCGCATTCCCACCAGATCTTCTCGACAGCAACGCATCTCAACCGCCCTGACACATACGGCTTGCACATATCCTCCCACCAGACCAACATCATGCCCGCCCCAACAGCGCTCAAGGCGCCCACGGACGCCGACGCCGCCATGCCCGTCCAAGTCCCCGACGTCGCCCTCCCCGCTCCCACCGAGGACGAGGACCTGCTGCTCGACAGCACGGCCATGAACACGCTGTCGGCCGACGCCATCGCGCCGCCCGCCGCGCCCGCCGCCGACGGCATGGAGATCGACGAGGAGTCGCGGCCGCAGTTCGCGCCGCAGAAGGACGCGGCGGCGGCGCACCGGGTCGAGACGCGCAAGGTGCCCATCCCGCCGCACCGCATGTCGCCGCTCAAGGCCAGCTGGCCCAAGATCTACCCGCCGCTGGTCGAGCACCTCAAGCTGCAGTGCCGCATGAACGTCAAGACCAAGTCGGTCGAGCTGCGCACCTCGCGCCACACCTCGGACACGGGCGCCCTGCAGAAGGGCGAGGACTTTGTCCGCGCCTTCACCCTCGGCTTCGACGTCGAGGACGCCATCGCCCTGCTGCGCCTCGACGATCTGTATATCGAGACCTTTGAGATCAAGGACGTCAAGACGCTGAACGGGGACCACTGTAAGTCGTCACCGCGGGATACGGGATTTCTGAAGGAAAAGGAGGAGATGATGCTAACTCTTGATCCTAGTGGCTCGTGCTATTGGCCGTATAGCGGGCAAGGACGGAAAGACCAAGTTTGCTATTGAAAACGTGAGTCCATACCACAATCAGCCTCATATGCGCGACAAGGGAGGACTGGGCTAACGAAATCTGACTGCAGGCGAGCCGGACGAGAGTCGTGCTGGCAGACAGCAAGATCCACATTCTCGGAGGCTTCAAGAACATTCAAATTGCACGAGAGAGCATAGTGTCCTTGGTGAGTACCCTTTTTTTTGGTCTCAGGCAGACATTGTTTAGCTGACTTGAGGAATACAGATCCTGGGTAAGCAGCCGGGCAAGGTCTACAACGGATTACGGACCGTTGCTTCGAGGATGAAGGAGAGATTCTAGACGACTTAAGGAGTTCAAGAGAGTTCTAGTCGGGAAATGGTATGAGAAGAACGTGGCGGAGAAAAAAATCATGGACTGGCGTTTAGGGGTACAAGGAGTTCAGAGCGATTCTTGGCTTGATAGATCTCGACAGGGTTCCGTCTCATTGCATGGAAGCATCTCATCCAGTGATCATGGGGGGTATCATTCGTCAAATTGCAAAAGTTACATACAACAACAGGCCCTGGCGCTTGATTCGTGACTTCATACTCGTGTTCGTCATCTGCGGACTTTTTTGACAATCCTTGCCGACGTCTCCAGACCCAAGATCCCTTCAACTTGGGACCAGCTTCGACCGTACATCATTGTCGTCAAGCTCATGATGGCCGATGGTTTCCTACAATTCGCAAACTGAGCCAAACCCGCACTCAAGGCTGTAGTGGTGCTTTCCACAGGCGATATGGTGGATCATCGGATGTGAACCTCAATCACATCCATATCTTCAACACCGGCCTCATCAATGGTAGAGCTCGCCTCCAGCTGCTCGCCGTCAAACTGTATCTCGATTTGTTTGTCGGCAGGAAGTTCCGTCTTCACCCTCCGGAACGCCTTGATCAAGAAGCTGACGCTGCAGTTGACAGGCACCCTCAGACCCTGGTCGCCATAGTTTCTAGATCGTAGCGTCACCTTGATCTTCTTCTCCTCCGGCTTTGGCGCGGGTTCCGGTTCCTCCTCAAGCTCGTCGTCGATCTCGCCGCGCCTGCGCTTGCTCTCCAGCTCCACGGCGGCTTGATGTTGCTCATAGAGCTCAGGCGTCCATGCCTCTATGTGGACTTTGTCCCAACCAGCAAAGCCTTCCTTTCGATACTCGGACCTTGAAAATAGGTTACCCTCATCATCAACGGGCTTGATTCCAAGACTGTTCAATGTTGTAAAATCGTAAATCCTATTGCCCTTCCATGTGAAGAACATGCTGTCAAGAACTGACGGCCGGATCGTAGAACCTTCTTCCTGGAGGCCCTGCTTCAGCTTTGCAGTCCACGTATCTCGGACAAGCTGCATTTTCTTCGTCGTTTGGATCTTGAAGCGCAAGTTCGGCAAGCCTTCCAAGCGCGATTCGATCAAAATGAATGCAGAGCTTTCTTCCTGGCTGGACGGTTCAGCTTCTCGCGCAAGTCTCTCCAAGTTTCTCAGCCTTGCCCGCTCCTGAGCTTCCCTCACGTATTTCGCCGTGAGGTCGTCTTCAGCGGGTAGGTCTTGTTCCATGGGGTCATCATCGTCGTCGTCGTCGTCGTCCACATTGATGAGATCTGCTCCCGGAGGAAGGGTATCCTCGTCATCAGATTCTAGCGAAATCGCTTTCCCTTTTCCCTTGTTTATTTTTGTTGGTGTTCTGTATGCGCCATCGTCGGAATCCGAGTCGTCAAGGGATATGATCTGAGTGCTGGCGGTCAACTTGGAGGTAGAACCGGAGTGCCGGGACTTGGCGGAAGGACTGAATAATGTCGATTTGACGGCTACACTTCGTCTCGTGCTCGTTGGCGACTGTGTGCTGATGCTAGACGACTTTCTCGAGGTGGGGCGCCGCCTGGTTGTATCGTCATCCTCGTCGCTTGAAAGTGACACACACAGGCGCTTGGAATCATGTTGTTGCGACGCTCGCCGCTTGGCCGCTGGTGATTCTCTAGCTTCAGAGGACGGTTGATCTGCAAGTTCGTGTTCCTCCTGAGATTTCCTGCTGTTCGGCTTGCGGGTTTTCGTCTGCTCGGTCGTCTTCTTGTCGAAGAAGGTTTTGTGCAGATCGCTGATGAAAAAGTCCTGGGCATTCTGCTCGGGGGGTTGAGCATCGCCAGCAGGCTTCTCGACGGATTTGCGCTTGACGGTGCGCTTGAAGGGCAGAGGGGCCATCTTTGGCGGTGCAAGAGTGCGCACTCAGCGCGAAAGCATCCCGGGTGCCTTTTGCGATGCGACAGCAAGGTGCCCCAGAAAAAAAGAGGACGACAGAAGCGATTATAGTCGAAGCGAAGATTTGGCGAGGTATGGGCAAGTGTTCGTTCGGGCTGTGGAGACCGTGGACAAGAAAAAAAAATAATGATGCCTGGGATCTCTGAGGAGACACGGTCTTGTCGAGCAGTCAAAACAATGCAATTGCAGTTTCCTGGAGCCTGATGTTAGAAGCCGCAAGAAAGTGACGATTTCTCCAACGCGAGGTACAAGCCGCTCTGCGCCGGGCAGGTACCCCACATCTCGATTGCTTTTTTGGCGTTGCAAGTCGCAAGTCGGGGAGAAAAGGGCACTGTGCTAAAGTACCTGCCCAGCGCTTAGCGCTACATCCCAGGGCCGCTGTCTCTGGCGGCCGCCCAGTGGTACTATGTATGGTACCTACCGCACGGCCAGTGGCAGCTGGAGCAAATCTGGGACCCGGGTCTTGGGATGCGATCGCTCCCTGGTGGATCCGGGATCACACTTGACAATATCAGAGCCGCGACCGCATGTGTCTCTCCGCGCCCGATCTCTCATAGCACCACCAAAGCGCAACTCGAGCCTGCACCAACAACCGCGATGGAGAACGGCACCGGCAACCAAGGCGAAGGCAGGGACCCTTCTGGCTTCCTTTCCGAGATCATCGGCAACCCCGTCACCGTAAAGCTCAACTCGGGCGTTGTGTACAAGGGTTAGTCACCACCAAACACTCACGTGTTCCGCCGCTCTGAGCCGCCCATGCTGACCTGCGCACAGGCGAGCTGCAGTCAGTCGATGGATACATGAACATTGCTCTTGAGAAGACTGAGGAATACGTCAACGGCGTCAAGCGCCGGACCTACGGCGATGCTTTCGTGCGAGGCAACAACGGTACGTAATGCACCATCTCACAGTCGAGGCGACAGAACGTTGACATGCAATCTAGTCATGTACATCTCTGCGGACTGAAGAATGAGCCGTATACCAGGTAGCATCACAAACAAACGGGAGTCACAGCATCATCCCTCAGCTGGTGGAAGGCGTCAGTTGGAAGACGTCAGGCTCGGTGAGCGACTGTGCTATGGCACTGAACGCTAGCACAAACAGGCCCATGGACTGACACGAAGATGTAAATTGATTGCAGGCGCAAAGGTAATCTGTTGATATTGAGGGAATGGGTATCTAGACTAGCAGAGGAAGACACTGATAAAGGTCAACATCAACACCACCAAGCTCATAGCCGATCCGTCCACGCAAAGTACGTCACTCCGTGCACGGCGATCTCTCCGTTCTTGTTCCGCTCGACGTCTTCGCCTTGTAGGGCCTCCTTGAATACTTTGGCCGCGTTATCGCGCTCCTCGCCTTGGAGCACAGAAATCTGGCTCAACGTGTTCAGCCTTGACCACAAGGCATCCTCACTCAACCACACCGTCCACTTCTCGCTGCCCTCACCCATTGGCAGCGAGAACCTCGGAAGATGGTCCATGAACGTATCCTTCACGACCTGCAGAGGGTTTCCAGGAAGTTGCTTCTCAAACACCTGCTTCCATTTCTATGTCGTGCGTCAGCAGAGACGGGGGCCGTCTGTCAGGGGCAGGCTCACCTGATGCCTAAACCGAGGAAGCCCGTCGTCAAGTGAATACACATAGTCGTTAAGCTTCTGCTCCCACTTCGTAGTCGCATTCCACTCTATGGGCTTGTTGTAATCTTCAACATTCCATATCATGCCAAGCACAGCGCCTGGTCTGAGCACCCGGTGAATCTCGCGTAACGCTTCTGGCGTTGCGAACCTGTGAATGGTATGAGCATACGGTCATACAACAATCGCTTCTGCTGTTGATCACTTACCAATGGAAAGCCTAGTTGTCAGATTAGGAAACATTTTGTCAACACGACGTCTTCCCAGGAGCTGTTCCCGACATACCTGTGCTGCAATACACGCATCGCCCCACTCATCAGAGACAGGCATCTTTGCTGCCGAGCCGTCGACCACTTCTACGGCTGGAAGATCCTTCTCTGCAAGCTTCTCTCTCATGCCTTGATGGGGCTCGATTGCCTTGATCAAGAACCTCTCGGACCGCTGGGCAAGGACCTCGGTGAATTTGCCCGTTCCTGACGCGATCTCAACAACATTGAGGTCAGACTGGCCCGCCAGCTTCAAGTTCCTCAGAAAGGTCTCCACGGCCTGCGCCGGGTATGATGGACGGTGCGTGTCGTAGGCGGAGGCATCCTTGAAGCCTTCTGCGGCAGCCGATGGCAGGACGCTCTGAGATGACATGGTATGAAGTTGCTGCCGGACAGTAGCTCAACGGCAAGAAGGACTCGATGACAGTGATGCTTCTGTAAATTCAGAAGTTTCAACTATACACTGTCGTGATTTGTTGGTTCTGTGAGAAGGACGCCCTACTTTCGTTGGTCCAACAATTACATCATTATCTCACACTCCCGATCTTCGGCTGGATGATTGCCCATTCTAGCACTGGTACGCTAGGCGTGCGGCTCCCATCCACCCGCCCAACTGGGACAGGGACAGGGGAGCTCAGTCCAATGGTCTAGGCAGCTTTGCGCAAGTCCGTTGGCATCTTGAGGATCATATGTGGCATATATGCAACCGTGACCAGATCATGGACGATCCTATTGTGAGGCGTTCAAGTAAACCAAATTACATTGCTTTTCGCTAGTAAGAGGCAGTTAAGTAACTAAATCCCCAGGTACCGTAGGTATGGACGGCATGGTTCAACTGTCAGCTCAGAGGTTGTAGGGCTCCAGGGCTGTGGCGCTCCGAGCCGGTGGCTACTGGCTAGTCCCTGCACCCCCAGAGAACAGCTGGTGCCAACCAGACGGAAAGCTTCCGTCAGCTCACGACAGCGAGCCAAGAGCCCTTCCTGCCCTTGTTCAGACACTTGTTTGTTCACAGCCCCATCCGACAACTTGGGACAACAAACATTATGTTCACCTGAAGCACTCTTTTCCACGGCTCGATCTTCCCTGGAGCAGTAGTTGGGGGAGGCTCATTGAACCAATAACGCCAGAATGCGATAGACACTACCGCATGCTGCATCCCCCTATTTCCTTGACCACTTTCCTTCCTTTCGCAGTCTCTCCTTAAGACCTCTTTTGCTACACACCCCAATGATACTCACATACCGCCGCTTCAGGCGTACATACCTCCGCCGCATCTTGTGGGCGCTCGCCGCGCTCTTCCTCCTCGATGTCGTCCGCATCATCTCCAGCCGGCCCTACACCCTTCGGTCTCCCTTGGTGGAGAAACGGTCCACAGCGAGCCCGGGCGCGAACGACACCTCGGTCTTCATAGTGTCGGTACACAGGAACACGGAAGTGATCCAGAGGGCGTCGTGGAACGAGGCGGTGCTGTCATTGGTCGACTACCTCGGCCCCGAGAACGTGCACATCTCGGCCGTCGAGTCCGGGTCGCAGGAGGGCACCAAGGATGCCTTGATAGAGTTGCAGGCCGGGCTGGACGCCAGGGGCGCTTCCAACGAGATCAGCCTGGGCATGACGGTATGGGAGCAGCTGGACGAGATCGACACGCGACCGCCGCCCAACGCCAGGGAGCCCGGGTGGATCTGGAACGCGGCCGAGGACCAATTCGAGATGCGCCGTATACCTTACCTCTCGAGAGTGCGCAACCAGGCGATAGCACCGCTGAGGCGACTGGAGAGGGAAGGTAGGCGGTTCGACAAGGTGCTCTGGTTGAACGACGTCGTGTTCGATGTATGTCTTTCCCAAGCTCCGCAGGGGTATGGTGATCTGATTGGTTACTGACAAGCCTGCAGGCTCAAGATATCCAGACCCTCCTCGATACGCGCGACGGCAACTATGCGGCGGCTTGTTCTATGGACTTCAAGTCGTCGCCCTTATACTACGATACATTCGCTTTACGAGACGATATGGGCCAGAAGACAGCGTCCCTGCATTGGCCTTGGTTCCGGTCGCCGAAAGCCAGAGCCTCGTTGCTCCGAAGTGAACCAATTGAGGTTACGTCCTGTTGGAATGGGATAGTGGTATTCGACGCTGCTCCCTACTACAACAACCCGCCCCTACTTTTCCGTGGTATCGAGGACAGTCTGGCGGATTTCCACCTGGAGGGATCCGAATGCTGCCTGATCCACGCGGACAACTACCTGTCTTCAGAAAAGGGAGTCTGGCTGAATCCCAACGTCCGAGTTGGCTACAATGTGAAGGCATATAACCGGGTTCAGGGCGACCGGTTTCCCGGCCCCTTCTGGGCAATCGTGGGTGTCTGGGTGAACCGCATCGTGAGTTGGCGGGCAGGCATCCAGCACTCACTAGAGATGCGTCATGTTCATAAAAAGATCGATTCATGGACCGCAGAGACTCCCCAAGGGGAGCTGGCCCGGTTTGAACCCGGGGAGGCTTGCCTGATCAATGAGATGCAGATCATGTGGTCGAATGGCTGGAAGCATCTGTAGACAGAGATTGGAGCAAGAGGAAAGAAAAAGCATCAAATCATAGCATGTGAGATACCCAAGAATCGTTTTTTAGAAGCACTGGGTATGCTTAGGACTCTAGTCGATGCTCTTCTCTCCCCGTGACGCTTCTCATCGTGAGTAGGCAGCTTTAGTAGACCCCTTATATGTACATCCAAGCACAGCTATGCGACAAACCCTAGATAACGCCAACAATCATAATCAACAACACATTCAATGCTGTCATTCCTGTCGTCCCTGGATAGCAGAGGCACAGAGCCAGCTACAGCCCAGCCTCTATTTGTTGTGCCAGATAAAGTTCCGCAGGCTGTCCCAATGGTCGCTCTCCTTGTAAATGTAGTTCATGCTGCTCTTCAGACTGGGCTGCAGGTCCTCCGGGTGGTGCCGGAACAGGTGCATGACCATGGCCCAGCTGGTCGCCGCGAAGACGGGCCAGGCGTAGTGGCTGATGGCGGCGGAGCGCGCCTCGCTCGACGACACCAAGGGGAGGCCGGCGCCCGGCTTGACGGCCAGCCGCGCCAGCGCCAACACCACGCGCGCGAAGACGTAGACGACGATCTGCTGGTTCACCGACGAGATCTTGCCCGAGCGCGGCGAGCGGCCTCCGAAGACGAAGTAGCCGCCCAGCAGTCCCGCCAAAAAGGTGTCATATTGGCCTGTGTTTCGGGGAAATGATTAGCCTCCCCTTCTTGAGCATACCGCAGTCCCTTGCGCAACGGCTCTGCTTGCTACACTCCTCATGTATCTTATCACCCGTTCGCCAATACATATGGCCTTTGACAGAAACAAGGTAGGGAATGTGTAAAGACTCACCCTCCTTGCCCGGCGTGGGCCCGTACCACTTCAGCAGATAGCAGACGGTCTTGTAGATGGTCGCAAACTTGGCAAGATTGCGGGCGTGTGTGCGCGTGGCGCGGAAGACCAGGTCTACCTTCTGCCGGAAGGAGCCCGATCGGAACAGGAAGACCATGACCAGCGCATGCGGGAACCGCACCTTGGCCCCGTAGACGGCGCCATTGCGCGCGCCCTTGACGATGGCGAGCAGGTCGCGGTTCGCCGGGTCCAGCACGATGCGCGTGAGCGTGTCCTGTTGAGATGAGACAATTGCGGGTTAGCCAGCGCCCTGGCAAGCCTCGCAACCATAGCCTGCTTGACAGACGGGTTCGCGATGCGTGTTGTGGACGTACCTTTACGCCCTCGATGGCCGACGACATTGTGCCGAGGCTAAACGGAGCAAGGTGTCTTGGGAGTGGACGGGACGTTCGTACGGCGCAGGTTCGGCGCGCGCGATGGGAGAAATGGCACTGGTCGCTACCGTCTCATGGAGGTCGGGCAAAGGACTGGTAAAATCCAAGGCGATATAGCGGTAGGAGTGGAAGTAGAGCATTCAAATGCCGGCGTCCTGGAGAAAGGGAAGGTCGAGGTCTGGCATGGGATTGTCCCCGTATTCTCGGCATCATGCGTGACACTCTCGGCTCCCAAAAAGCTGGGGAACAGGCGCTAAGAGCGCTGGAACCGTGGACCCCACGGCCACTATGACGCCACGGCCAGCCCGTCGACGACTGGACCCCTGCAGCTTTGCTTGTGCGATGCGCGGCATGTGAAAGGTGGGCAGCGGCTGTCGAATCGCTGGTTCGGCTTTTAGGCGGTTCGTAACACGAGTCGCGCCTGTGCTAAGGACTTAGATTTCTGGTATAGAGTTGCACAGAGTTGCATTGTCGATATAGACGGGCGTCATCAGTAGTATACTCTTCTTATTCTTTCCTCCTCTTGCCCAGGCCAGAGCCGCTCTTACGAGGATAACCAAGCACCGTCTTTCAGACCTTGCCGAAAGTTATGGGACGCTTGTCGGTCTTGGTTACCTCGTTGCATGTGCCTAAGGATTTTTGCAATGCCAGCCAAGTATTTCTCCTCCAACGCCGACGTGACCAGTGGTAGCCTTTAGGACTTCCAGGCGCCAATTTGGCCGTCCTCGGTGAAGGACTCTTGATGCTGCCCCCGACGCCTCCAGTCAAGCCATACGTTCTCGGTGGGCAAGAGAGGCGAGCCACAGGACTCAGCTCTGTTATCTTATTTCCGCTGGCCCAGACGGCAGGCCAGCCACCGATTTGGGTGTCATCCACCTTTCCTCTTCCGTCGCCTTCGTAGGACTATTCAGTCTTATCTATCACACCGGCATTGGTCAGCAGCATCCCGAAGGGCCTGCCACAACAAACTAGCGGCAGCCCGCATTTCGCGATGGCGCTCACTTCGGTGAGGCTGAGAACCTGTCACGAGCCGCCTGTTGCGCGCGCAGCAACCAGATGTCTTTAAACGGGTGTCATTCCCGCTGCCTGCTATCATCAATCCCTCCTCGCTCAAAACTACCGTATCTCGAAGCCAGAAAGACTCTCACATAGGTCATGACCCCGACTGGACTTATTCAGACGGAACGTCTTGCATTCTGACACCTCATGAAATCTGTGTGTTCATGATGCAGCATATCTCCCTCTATTGTCCTCCCATGTGAAAATGAGGAACTCATTAGTCCTCTGCGCCGTTACGGCATTAGCAGCGCAACTCACTGGCGGTGCTCCTACCCCTACTTCGACACCGTCTAAGCTGTCCGACTATTTCTGGCAGTTACGCGACCTCGACAGGCCAGCCTCCAAAGCGAACCCATACATTGGCGGGCAGAACAGAACAATTTGCTGCCTCAAGGCGATAGCAGAGTCTCTACGAATCGATGGGGACTTCTTCACAAACACGACGGATTTTATCTCGGCATCCCCATCTGAGCTCTACCAGAAAGCTCTTGAAAACCAATTTCCGTGTGATGCCGTATACAATGGCGATCCCACAGGTGCGCCAGAGGTCAATGTACCCTACGCCTGGTGGGCCTCTGAATGTCCAGGCTGGCAGCTCAACGACCACGACAACTTAAACTCATGGCTTCAGCCCATGAGCGGCTTCCTTATCCCCGCCATACCGTTGATATTTAGCATACCTCGGCGCCGAAAACTCGAGGTGTATCGGGAGTTCTTCACCGCGGATCTCTCAGGTATTAAGAGCTATTTGGCGGCCCCTCTTGGCGCCCTCGGAGCTGCCCTCATAGTCACACTGGACACTCTCATCTGGCTAGCAACCTGTTTTGCATTCGCAGCCCCGATGATACTCAGCGGATTGTATGAAGCTGTGCTGGACAACCGAATGTTAGACTACCTGAAAGAGAAGATGCAGGTACGTCAGATTCCTCTCTCGCGTCAGGTTATCTGTCTTCTTGTATGACATCGTTATGCAGCTCCATCGGCACAGAAATTTGCCTGGGTGATGACCGTCGCATACCTAACTAATCACGCTATCTCTTGCAGAATAAGCGCTTGACGTTGGACATGAGAGCAAGGTGTCTCATGGTAATCTTGATTGGCAATCTTGATCTCGGGCTAGAAGGTGACGAGACACCGGTCAACCAGTTACTTGAACAGGCTGGCACTTCGAACGCAGTCATTGAAGGTCGGCCTCTTATTCCTCTAGACGACAGGATAGAGTTCCACGGTGAAACTGCAGCTGATACAGCAGACCATGAGAAGGTTCCTTCACCAGCACAAGTCCCGACCATAGGAATAGAAGAGCCATCACAACCGGATGATTACTCACCCCTGACAAGACGTGGCAACGAGCGCCCTCGAAGGACCTCAACAGCTCGTACATTATCGCCCAATACCGAAACTTCACTCGCACGCCCCCCAAGCTCTACTGACGTCCCTGTTTCCCGGAACAGCCAGTCTTCTGGGTTGTCTCGCAGCAGAGGGGCGAGCTTGCACCGGCGGCCGACAGTCCAGCAAGCAGCTAGCCCCTGGCGTCATATGGAGAACCTCCTATACGAGATCCGTCTATACGATGATGAGGAGGCGGGGGAGTTTCCACGCCAGTGGCCCAAGCACGACTGCAACAACAGATTGTGCGAGGACCACGCTCACATTGAACAACCTCGCCGACGAGACCATATCTTTGATAGCTTCGTTGCCAAGACAAAGACGCGGCTCCGCACCATGCTCCACTGTCAATCCTCCTTCGGGACCATCGTCGGCGCACCCGTCATCTTTTTCCTCGGTGGTTTTATCTTTGCATTGCTAAGCAGTCGGGACATGATCGGCGACGAAGACATCGCAGAGGCTCTCGCTTTTGGCCAGTGGTATATGATAATCCCCCATATTGTAAGTGTTTGCTCACAGAGTTACAACAGTACCTTTGCGCGGCACATCAGAGAAAGCAGTTGACTGATTGATCATAGTCGATTATTTCTGGGCTTTTATTGGCAGGCAACAATCCCAACATACTTGAAGGAGTCTTCGCAACAGAGCGCGGCGAAGAGAAAGACATTATCAATTTCTTCGGTCTTCGTTTTGGACTTGCCTTTCCTAGCTGTTACAAGACCGCATGGCAGTGGAGGCGGGGCCATGGCAAGAAAACGTGGATCTCGAAAGTCATCGACACTTACGGCGTTCGAAAAGACGTCGACTTCAAGGGAAACATCGAACCGGATGACGATATGGAGGACTTGCGAGAGAAGACGACCTTGGTTGCCTTTGACTGGATTTTCATCCTGGCCATCACAACACTTTTAATATACGTGCCCTACGTACTCGCTTTTCTCACGTCGTACTTCACGCCTCCTATTGGCCTCGCATGCCGATCACTGACATCCAGTGTCTATGCTTCTAGTCAAGCTGGGCAGATACTTCTTTGGTTTTGGGCAAACTGCGGTCCACCGATGGGCAAGGCGAAGAATGAAACGCAGCGAGGGACCTGGGATTTTGCTCGTCAGGGCGGTTGGCTAGATCGTAATGGCTTTTTCAACCCATCTTCTGTGAGCTGGCTGATTCAGTCCAACCCCGACTGGTCGGTGGATCGACCCTGGAGGATCCTCAAGTCACGGCGGTTCTGGTCCGTTAGAATGCTGTTCTCCTTGATCTACCAATTCCTGGTGGTCATATTTGGTATCAGCGCCGTATTCTCGGTACTTGGCGGAACCTTGATGCAGTTGATGGGTGTCTACTCGGCCAACATGTGCTACGTCCCGTCGAGGTGGTGGTTGGTACCGTTCGAGGACCGGCCTGTCATTATGATATCGAAGAACACTGCTTTGATGATCACTATGGCTCAACGTAGGTTCTGATTTACGGCATCGCCGGGTGTGAATTTTCATAAGAGGAAAGCTAACAGGAGCCACAGGATACTGGGAACCATGCGCCATTACCGCTATCGTCTTTCTGGCGGTCGTAAGCTTCATTGGCTGGTGGTATCAACGGAGAATGCGGGATCTGTTTGGCGAATGTAAGTGGACATGTTTCTCATACCCGTTCTTCCATCAATACCACAATCCCTCCCCCCAGTGTAAGCATGATGCTAACTTGCTGCAGTGGTTCGGAGTATCGATGCACAAAAGTATGATAGGGAAGATACCAGGAGCGCACGACCACTCAAAGATCGTCGGCCTGCCGACCTTGGAGGAGTGTCTGTCGGCTGTTGAAATTCCTGCAGTTTGTACCTTATAGCTATTGAGTAATTGATATTGAATGGAGCTGAATGCAGACTCTCTGGATAGTAATGTCTTTCGGCATTAGGCTACGCGAGGCTTGCGCGAGGCCTCAGTTCGGCTATCATCCCATTGGCGACCCCATCTTCGAAAAGCGTAAATAATTCTGGTGACTAGTACTTGAGCTGCTCATTGCAGATAAAAGAGAGAAACGAAGAAAGAAAAAGACATAAAAAAGAGTACGTGCTATATTTGCGCTGACAGTCACAATCCCTACTCCGCACAAGTACTGACCTGCATCAGATGGCGGCACTGACGTCATGGAGTACTAACAACAATCCAAAGCGAATCTTAAGTCTCCGAATCACCAGCCCACCTGAAGCATACTATAACTTCGACACGTAGTTTGCGTCACACCAATTCATGTACAGTATAGCAAAGTGATTGTAATATAATGTCACTTATCCATCAAAGAATACTCGATGCCGTCAAGGCTCGCGAACCTCCCAAAACAGTGTGTCCCAGCGAGGTTGCCAGAGCGCTGAGCAAAGAGGACCTATCAGCAATCGGCTGCGAAGACTGGCGGGCTTCCATGGATCCGATAAGGCGGGAGGCGTGGTCTATGCGGAAGCAGGGGCTGCTTGATATCACGCAGAAAGGAGAGCCGGTGCATGTGGAGGAGCTTGAGCAGATTAGGGGACCAATCCGATTGCGCAGGAAACCATAAGAGATCCTGGAAACAAGGCCAGAATCAAAGAAACGCATTGATCGACTTATGTTCTTCACGAGACAAAGACATATTGTAGTGTATGGCTTGACTGTCGCAACTACCGTCCCGACCATGTTGGCAGTGACGGTATAGGGCATCTCATGGCTGACGCTTGCACTCTGGGTAGACTGCCACCAAGGATATATGGGGACCTGACAACATCGTCTGCGATAAGTTTGCCGTTGTAATTTTATGGCTTGAATATGCGCATTTACCGGTCTAGCAAGGATGGAGGTCATGAAAGCGTTCAATGTACTCCAAACATCAGCGCCAGTAGTCTGGGAGGGAAAGCCAAGGCACCTTGGCGATGATCGGATCAAGCTGCGATTCAGGACGAAACTGTACACTAACTGAGGAACCATGATGGGTTCTTCGTACGCACTTCGGGAAAGATAACACAAATGAATTCTATGGCTTGAGTCTATATAGTTTCCCTTGTTCTGACAGGGTGGTGAAACCTCCACCCAACCACCAAGAGCTTTTGTCTATAATCGTTAACGTATGTCATCCGTGACTTCCAGTGCCTCATTGTCGTCTCCTACACAATTGCAATTGTGTACCGAGACGGACCTGCGAAACCACCATTGTGCAACGTCTTTTTTTAAGAAAGTCTTGGCGCTCGATCCTGCGGCGCTCTTCAAACCATGCTTTGTACGCCGGTCCACGTGCCGGGAGCTGTGCGACCTCGCCGGTCTGAAGGTCGCGTGCGATGTCCTGCATGAATACGCACTTCTTCTCCGTCTTCGCGGACTTGCCGCTCTTGAGGATACTTGTCTTGAGCATGGTGGATGATGGTGGAAGTAAAGTCGAACCGAAGGAAGGAAGGAAGGAATGTGCTTTGCCCCGGCTCCGGTCCGAGAGTGTCGTACTAGAATTTAGTGTCGGTGCGCTTGAAAATAGGATGATGTAGCGGCACGATCGAGAAATCCGACCAGGAGATTCACGTGGTTTTGTATTCTTAGAGAGAACAATGCATGTACTTTCGTTGCTTTTAGCGCTGGTCGTCCTTTGAGGATCAATGAGCCAGAGCCATTGGCAGTGGTTCAGGCTGATTTTCTTTGTTGAAAGATTTGACTAGGATCGAGACAAGTTTGAGGGTTCTGGTGCACGCGAGCAGTAGCACGTGGTAAGTTGTTTTATTGGGAAGGATTCCTTTGAAAGGTCGGAATTCGAGATTGTGCATGATCAATATTCTCAGGAACAGCATTCCCCGGGAGGAAACCAAAGACAGGGGAAACTCTATGTGTTTAAGGTTAGTTGACAGGAGCATTTCGGTAATGAGCACAATCCCATGTGAATTCGTTGAGAGGTGCGAAGCTTATACAGAAGTCAAAGCGGCCAACCGCAGCATATGTTTGGCTCACTGCACGAGCTGTCTTTCTACTAGCTCGGTGTTATGCAGGTACCATGCACTCTCGTTCATACGAAAATCAAGTGCGGTGCCTCTTTTAGGTGATTGCATAATGTGATGTTCGGTCTGCTGGTAGTTAGACTTTGAGCCAACAGGCGCTGGGCTGAAGCAATAATTGTCCCAAGCGATTGGCATTCCAGTATCTCCAAGAACTACGCTCGATAATCTACTGGAGGATTTTATCTTATTTCCATTTTCCCTCCTGCTCTCCTTGCACTACCATAGCCGACATTACACCGTCACTCTACGTTCATATGTCCGTCACCATCGGCTATGTTCCAAGACTGCTTTGGCTTGCCATCTGACGTGCATTCAATTAGATAAGGCCGGTCTAGAAGTTGTACCGAAAGACAGTCAAATTCTCAAGAACTTGGGGCTGAAGCATCAGAAATCCCTTCCAGCCACTCCTCTGCTGCGCGTTCAAGTTGCCCATCGGGGATAGCTGTGCCTAAAGTTTCAGGTTTGGGAAGTGATAAGATTACCCCCGCTGCTTGCCTCCTATACTGTCTTCTACGGACGCACCCATTGCACTCCGGGAGAAGCTTCTCATCGGGATGGAAAGCTCTGAGAACATCCTCATGGAGATTGAAACGGTCCCTCAACCGAATGGGTTCGGGAAAAGAAGTGTGCCCGCATCACTAGTATGTCACTTCTTTTCTACAAATTGGACAGCTCCGCGCTCCATTGGACTCAAGCCAGAAATAAATACACTCGTACCCGAAACTATGCCCACACTTCATGTTCCTCGTCTGGTGGCTGAATGATGCAAGTAAGTTCTGTACAAGGCATTGTCATGTTGCTATAACAATGACAATCCTGCTTTATGTGACCAACGCCTTTCGTCAACCGGAGCTTACAATCAGATTGGTTATGAAGAGGCCTTCTCAACGCACCCTGGGAAGAAAGACCGTGCGGAATATGTGAAGCATCGTGCATAAATATGCAGTGGTGATACTACCATGGGACCATTAAAAACAACGGGTTTTTGCGCAAGAGACCAAGGAGTCTACTTCAGGTCAACACCTCAGATTTACGAGCTATCCTGCTCAGTGCACCTTGAATTGTACATTGATTTGTATTGCTTTGAATTATAGTCAGTCCCCCATATGATGCCTTTGACGTTGCCATTCAAAATCAACACGTTTGCGCGCTAGTATGACCCAAAGGGTATCTCGATCTAATATACAGTACATAATACACATTACACGTTGGCTGGTAAATTTGAAAGCCGTATTGCTAATCGAAACGGCTCATCCGTACGTCGAGATATGCCCCGAGCACTGAACTCTCGCTCTCTGATCGTAAGTGCGTAGGGCTCGGATGCGACCGTGGCGGCACTTTCAGTCCTTGAGGTCTCAGATGATGAGATGAATGCTCGATCATTCTTGGACTGGGCTTGTCAGGTTCTGACAGCGAGGCTTTCTCCTCCTCGATGATGATCTGTAGTCCCCCTTCAGGCAATCCCAGCTCTTTAGCCTTCTCGGCCTTCTTAGATTTTCTCTTCTCCTCCTCTGATGCCATTAGCTCTTTCATGATCGTAATCCCTTCATCGCGGTCGTCTGCTTTCTCAATGTTCAGCCCCCACGCCTTGAGAAACGTTGCTTCACCGCGGTAGTTTCTGTGCAGCCACAAGCGCTCCTGGGGCGAATGCCTTAATGACGACTTCCTGGGTGGAAATTCTGGCTTCGCTGTCTCGACGTCTTTCTTTACCGGTTTGGGTGCCTCACTTGGGCGGTCCGGACTTGTAGGGCTTGTCGTCCCAATGGTGGGCAGCGGTCTGGAGGGTGGTGGGCTAGTCATTGGGGGTAAAGGGAACCATTGGGTTACCCGAGCACCCTCCTTCATAAGCTGGCCGACGTGTTTGGCCTCTGACGACGATTCTTGAGCATCTGACTCTGACTCGTCAGTTGTCTCCATCGGACGGGGAGGCAGCGCTTTTCGCGTACGGGCACGCTTTTGGATGTCTGCCGCTGACTGAGTTCGTCGAAGTTGCCTTGCAGATCCCGAAGACACTGATGTTGTTGATCCGTTGGAATATGGTGGTGGAGATGACATTTTTGAAAACGCGGTTGAGGTTGCTGATGGAGGCGACGAAAGCTTCTCTGATGGGAGGCTCAGTGGCGCAGGGCTATACTGTTCGGACATTGTCTCGAATGATGATGGCGTAGGGATGGGGGAGAACAACTCCTGAGGGTCGGTTTTTGATCTCGAAATACCTATAGGCGGCTCCGGGGCGGGAGCATATGGTGCAGGAAACCATGTTGTACAAGGACGCTGCAACTCCTGTGCAGTCCCAGGTCGGCATGGTGATGGCTCTGGAGTTCCTACCCGAGAGCCACCGAGATGGATGATTTCGGTCGCAGCAACAGTAGCCAGACTGTTCTTACTAGAGTTCTGCCCATAGTTCCAGCGGACCCACGCTTTCGTACGCTGGCTTGGTTCTCTGACGAGAGGCATTGTGCCGATACAAGTAAGTAGTAGAGCGCTATGATGACGGCTTGAGGAAATGAAAGAAACTAGAAGATTTCGATGCCAGCAAAAGAGCTCCTGGCCAAAGGCATCGTGTCGTGCCCCTCAAGTCATATAATACTTGCAGTAACCACTTTATTCCAGTCCTGCGTTATCAAAATTCTGACGATGGATTTCTTGGCGGCTCATGTGAAGGAGTCGTATCGCTAGCGGAACCCTTGTCGCTTCCCAATATACCCCAAACCCATCTAGCTGTCTTGGGTATTGCGCCATCCAGACTTGGAAACCGACCCACGTTTCCACAACCCAAAACCATGGTTCTACTAACAATGTGCTTAGAATTAATGATCCGGTTGACGACGCCGACGTTAGCGCCCAGGGACATCGGACGAACACGAGCCTCATTATGGTTCGAGCACGCAGGAAAGAATATTTCTCCGTTGGCGCCCCGGTGACATTGAAGGGGTGCCAGGAGACTAGCCAACTAGCTCAACCAAGGGGCCGGCATTCGCTTACCATGTTATCCACCCACGGTACCAGCCGCCGCCTCAGGTTGGGCAGAGCTGCAAAATCGTAGACTTGGCTTGGCTGGGATACCTACGAGCTGACGCGAGAGGAGTCCTGTCAAACCTGTCGTTGCGTGCGTGTTCAAGGAACAGGTATATGATGTCTACCAGGGGTATCAAGGGATTGGAAAGAGCCACGTGGGATCGCTCCCTTTGGCCTTCCTACTTATGCCGTTGTAATGATGTGAAGCTCACCAAGCCCGGAAGCCAAAGGGGTGGATTTGGCGGTACCTGAATCTCCCACAACATACCATGGTATGGCTTTGGGTTTGTCCACCGTTGGGAAAAGCATGTGGGTCTGCTGGTGAAGGTTCGAACCACACAGTCGCTTGGCCGCCTTACTCTCACCGGAAGCTGACTGGCTGGCCACCTGCATTGGGTTTAAATCGCCAGTCTAAAAAGATTTGCATCACTGCTTGGGAGAACCATACCATGATCGTGAAGGCCTAGGGAATCTAGATGGACCCCTGGGAAGATCTTGGCCGGGTTATCACCTCTTTTCGACAAAGCCCCTCATCGCTTAAGACGCCTCTCAGGTCCCGATCGGAGCAGATGTTTCACTTCCAACCAGGTCGACGGCGCGGCTACTCATCAGCCCACGTTCGTCCTACCGAGTCTGGATGCAGGGCATCAGGTTCCATTGCCCCTAAATGCTGCAGACGACCTATCACATCATCACCAAGGCATTTGTAAGACTTGGCAGACGGCGGCTGCGATTAGTCTTCCTAGGGGATTCGCCAACTACTGTGCTTGGAAACAGACGACCATCGGCACTATGATCACAGCGCTTGAAAACTGGTAGAAGGCACGCCGACGAGGAACTCCTCCTTCAGTCGAGGAGCTGCGCAAAGCTTCAAGCATGCCGCAACCGTATGCCAGTGCGATGGTTGGCATCCCCGGCTTGTGACCCTGAGGTCCCCCCGAATTGTAACCCTCAGGGCCCGAACGGTCTCGTCCGGAGCTAAGAGACGGACCTCCGCACGGCTACTACATATAGCTGTAATCCCGGGTCCTAATCATACCATAATTATACCAACCGTAGCCTTGGGGTTTGATAACGACCTCATTCCGCATCCCTTGACTGTATCTGTAATCAATGTCTTTCCTCTTAATTTCCGGACTTTGCGAGCTGTCGCAGCCTCTGAAGACCAGCCGTCAGACACATCGCGCAGCCTCCGACTTCAGACTAGGGAAGACCTCATGAAACCATTCCAAATTAGAGAGTGCCAACGGCCCTGTGGGAGTCGTGGGGACCCCGTTGGCCGTTTTCTCGCCCGACGCCTGCCACAGTGGCCTCTCTTATCTCCGTTTCCCCCTTTCCATCAACCTCGGTGCTCACTTTCTCGATTTTTCTGCCCGCCCAACGCACTGGGGGTTTCGATAACTATAACGTGGCACAAATGAACCTCACGGCTGGGTCCGGACAGCAGACGTCAATCCCGCGTATTTGCTCGAGGCTGGATCACAGAAGGGTCTGAGGTGGGTGTGAGTGGAATGAAGCTCTTCTCAATTAACAAACTTCTGCCATCGATCGCTTGAGGCCCAAGAGCTTCTCACACTCCGCTTGTGTCCTACTCTGCAAAACAGATCTGGAGCTGAGGCCAGTATCACCGCAACATAATCCAGCCATGTCATCGTTCATTGTATGACAATACCCTTATTTATTTACCGAGTCGCCATTATATTGCCGCCAGCATGAGATATCGTGCCATAGTGATACTAGCTGAGGCTATTGTGTAGTGATTGCGGTAGCTATCCACTATATAATCGTAACTAGAGACGATTAGTACAATGGGGGCCATGCCAAAGAGAAAACAAGCACCGGTACCGCTCCAACACAAAACAGTGCTGGAATTTGTCAACTCTACACAGAAAAGACTGACGGGAAGGGGAGGTCCTGTTATTATCGCAGGCCAGACCCGAAACTCTGGTTCAGTCTTGATGCCCTTGATATATCGAGTGTGTCGGCGCGTCCAGCTGTACACCCTGGGGCACCTAAAGTGAAGAAAGCAGCGCCAGCTGCCACAGTTACGAAGTATGAATCCTCTATTCCAAACGACTTATTGCATGTCACCTTCAAGATGTAGTTGAGCCCTGATAGAAAGGACAAGTGTAAGATGGAAAGCAAGTTCAAGTAACCGCCTGGCACCGAAACTACCGACTCCGTCGATAGGAACTTTGCCGGTAGAGGCATGATTTTGCTCAGTCACTCGGCGAACGACCTACTCTCGGGGAATTTGGGAAGATATCTTTTGTTACCAGTGATACTACGAAGTTACCAGGTCTTCCAATCCAAGAAGATGGGTTGCTGATTCTCAAGAAGAAACAAGAAAGCTACCACAAGTCCAAAAGAGGAGATATTGAACATGAAATCCTCCGTCCATCTCCATCCAAGATTCAGATTGAAAACTATACATCCACCCGATATTGGTGCTAGTACGGGTGCTGTAACTTCTTAACGTTAAACATCTCGAGCCTAGAAGCTGCAGAGGTCTACAAGCCGCAATTGTAACATTTGCCAATGCAATGATAAGACCGTGAAGACGAATCAGTGCGACATTTCGCAATGGAGGTGCTCAGGTGCGCGGGAGTCCGGGGAGACACTACCCAGTTCAACTACCACGGTTTGATATGACATTTCACCCACATCTACGACTTCTATACGTCAAGCCCGACGAGGACACCTCATCGGCCGCTTCCCACGAACATATAGAAGAAAAGCAGAATGTGCTAGCGTTCACTCTAGGAGCAGAAACGGGTCACTCAGGCGCTCACCAGTGCGCTGAGAAATCCCAGCGCGCGTACTGGGTAGAGGATCCTGATCACTATCAAACCGAGGGTGATGGAGTGAATCTCGACAGAGAAACTGGCAGGATTGACGCTCTCAGGGGAAATTCTCGCAATCCCGACCATCATGGCTACCAAAACGCACAGGTCGAGGGAGCTACTACTGCAGCGCACCCAGAAACCCGAGCGATATCATGATCGAAACCTTACGCAGTATATGAGACTATCTCCGGTTTATGGCTAGGGTCAGTTAAGTAAGGTAAACCAACTCTTCAAGAGATATTATGCAAAGCGAATGGACATCGCTTGCACGAAGCATTTTGATTAATGTTTGCGTGCATCTCGAGGACACTTGAGCTCTGCTAGATAGCACCTGTATCAGCTATCGTATATTGTTAGAGTCAATGTATGACCCCGCCCAAGATAGAATACTATTCTCATGCGACTAAAAGTAAGTCAAGCCCCGAATTTGCAGTTGCCCCAAAAGGAACAGCATAGCGAAGACCAAACTTAGGGCCTGACATCAAGTGCACTATTATGTACACACCAGATGGCTGCCAGTACATAGAGCGCAATCCTTAACCGCCATACCATCAGTAACCATAGCCCTGGGCCCCCAAACGCCTCATCAGGCAGCCAGCACTGTTTCAATCAGAACCGAAGCCTGATGCCTAAAATTAAACCATGAGGTGGCTTGCTCAGCCCGCTCGGAACTTAGGCATGTATCGATAGTGTTTACTGCTGCCTGTGTCAGGTGTAACAAAAGGAATATGCCTTCGATCTATTCATTCTACGCATCCAGACCGGACCTATCAGCTCATGTGGTCAAGCTAGCCGAAGCACCGATCTTAAACGCGGGTGGCTGAACCAAGGCTCTTAAGAAGGCAGCAGATTATCAAGTGAACATCCCCTTTAGTTACTCGCGTAGCACTATTGTAATGGTGTCTCATTTCGCACACAAGTTCCCAGAGGCTCATATCTAAATGTCCGGTACGGACTTAGCGACCGGCATATTGTAAGGTGGATTGCAATTCGCTAGGTTGCAACCAAGTTCCAATATCTTGAACATCTGATTGCGACGTTGCACTAAAACATAAAAGAAACGTGATGATTTCATACCACGAGTTTTGCGCTCTTTTTTCTAGTACCAACCGCGTGGGAACCATTACATTTCGTATCCCTTGATTTCACGTGTATTCGTTGTGTTTGTTGTTAGTCACCGGACCTTGCGAGCTGTCCCAGTCTCTCAAGACTAGCTGTCAGATACACCACATAACTTGTAGATTCAAATTAAGGAAAGATTTCGCCCACCGTTCCAAGGAACTGGTAACCAAGAGGTTTGTAAGTTGCACAAGTGTACTTCATGCATGACACTCGTATTAGAGAGAAGGTTCAATAGTTTCATGCATGGCTTCACTTGATGGCGCTCAAAATTGTATCGTATCTATACCGTTTGAAACGGTAAACATAGTACATACGACCATAAGCGCTAGAGAACTCGGCATCCCGTCCGCTCTGCCCTAGATAAGCTGGCGACTGCTGGATTAGTAGTTGGGTGGGTGACCACCAGCGAATACCCGGTGTTGTATGTTTTTTGATGCGATCACATTTTTAATGTGATTACTTTTTTGTTGCTTGTCATGGATCGGCCGGTGCGTGTGGTTACGTTACTGTGGTGGGGTACGATAAAGTCGACGGTTGTGGGAAGCGTAGGGTGCGGGGAGCTGTCCCTTGCTTCCCCAGCTTTAGATTTTCGCAATATTACAGGACTAGTAGCAGAGCCTTTAGTCCATCTGTGGTGCCGCGACACCGATAGGACTCCACAAGTATGATGGACTCGTACCCATGATGTTTGAGCAGAGTAAAGGATCGTCGCTGTCTAAATTGATATTTCCCATAATTTCGAGGTTGGTGTTCCGAATGCAGGATTGTTGGCATGATCCGACGTGGCCGTAGATTTGGAGTGGTTCGTCCTTTATGACAGCTCAGAGCACCTCGTAAGGTATCAGTGGAATGTGTCGTGAGTAAGCGACGGTAGGGCACCTTTATCGGTAAGCTGTTTGTGGGTATAGTTAATTGCTAAGCCTCTGTTTTTACAACACTAGTTGTTCGATCTTGGGCACTGTCCATCTTTGACATACTCCTTCAGGCTCCAGAAATTCCATGCTATACGAGTTATGTACCGTGTAATTTTATTATTATAGCACATCAGGTTATAGGTGCTAGAGAAACTGGGACCCCGTTCGCTCTCCTATAGATCAGCCAGTAGGAGATCGGCCGGCTCCCGTTCAGGCAGGCGTGCCGCACGTGCCTGTTTTGGGGATACGGAGCAACCCCGGAGGTAAGCGGCCCGGTACTCACGGAGTAGTGGGGCTCCTTCTAAGACCCCGCGCCGCCATTTTTCGGCTCCGGCTACTAAGTTGGTGCGAGACAGAAGAAACTGTCCTGGACTCATTGTTTGCATCGCGGACACGGCAGACAGCAATAAGATCCAACCTCTAAGAGTTCACAATAACGATAAGTTCGGACTATGGGAAATTGTCACAGCTGGTTCAGGGCGTCACACTCTGGATGCCATCAGTATGTTTGCCTATAGTGGCAACGACGTAGAATCTTTGACGGATCTAGATTTGTTTGGCAGCGTGACATCACCCATTACATCGCGTTCATTGGATTGGTCGGACAGTTGTCGATTTAGAGAAATGGGCGGAGTAGTAATCCATAATGATCCGTTTGTCCGATTGAAACAGACCAACTTACAGCGTTGTGTCGGGTAGTTCTCACTACGCAAGACGATGAGTCACTGTGCGCCTAGCCCCGTGACGGAAGCACGTTCTACTTTGGTGGTGTAGGGGGGTATCACATCATGAGATTGCTTCTTAGATTGTCCTATGCCTCTTTATAACACCTCAAAACTATATAAAAAAGGGTTGCGCTTATGCAAGGGGTAAATGATGTCAAATCGATATCGAAACTCGAAATCACTTTATCGTGTTGATTGAATCTATGGGAACAACATCGATCCCCCTTTGTGCGCAGGCCGAGTCGGTAACTGGTATCATAATAAAGCCGTGGCAGATCTATTCGAACAAAGTCTCCATAATAATGTGAGTGATACGGTAGGGGTCCGCGTTCGACCTGGTACTTGTCAGCAACTAACTCCACAAGGCTGGGGCCTGTCAGATAAATTCCATCCGGGGTAAATACGTACGCTGGGCGTCTGTCTTCGAAGTATCCATAACCCTTCGCAGCAGTCTCTCGGGGAATACGGATCTATCCAAGAAATTAGTACTACACTTAGCAGAGAAGGAACCAGCAGTTCCTGTGAACGACATACCGATGAACCACGATCCGCAACTCCCCATGTGAACTTGTCAATCGACCCTGTTTCGTGTCTTCCAGTAAGCCTAAGGATGTTGTCGTCGCCATAGACGGCAATGTGCTGCTGATGACGACCCTCGAGCTTCTTGATGGCCGCTTCAATGTGTTTTATGCCACCTTCTTGGCGCCTAGAGGGATGGTATTAGAGATCTTCTTTAGGATATTGTGACAGAGCGAGAAAGCTGAGACTTCAAGTTGGCTGGGATACTCACATCTCCTTGGTAGAGAAGTTGCTGTGCAATCCTGCGCCATTCCAATCTCCGGGCATGGGCTTGGGGTGGTACGAGATCCTTGCGCCGAAGTCCTCAGCCACACGGTTGAGCAAGAACCGGGCCTAAGATGATTATGTCAGTATCACGAAATTTGAGGGCGAGGACGGTATCTGGGAGTTCTTACCATCCACATCTCATCGCCGAGGTTGATGCCTACGGCCGGTCCAACCTGGAATTCTAGAGGACACCACAGTTAATATAGATTGTGGATAGGATGTCTCTAGAGACAGCGGAGTCGCTTACCCCACTGCGCTGGCATCACCTCCGCGTTGGTCCCAGAAATAGTTATTCCGGAATAAAGACACTATGACTGTAAGCAACCTTCTTGACGCGTTCTAATTGAAATGCTTACGGCCTTGTAGTGAGCTTCGACGATATCACGTTGGACAACCTTTCCAGCACCAACACCTGCAATATTCAGATATTAGTTACTCGGAAATCGAAATCGAGGTAATGAAGGGCTCGCAAGTCTCCAACATCCAAGGACCCCTTCACAAATGTACTTACCGCAGTAATACGGCCCTTGTGGAGCGGGGAAGCCCGCCACTGGCCACCCGAGAGGTCTGTTGGAAAGGTCCAGCATTGTGTACTCTTGTTCAAGACCCCACCACGGCTCTTGGTCGGCGAACTTCTCGAAAATCTTGGCCGCTTCGAAACGGTAGTTGAATTTATTCGGAGTGCCATCAGCCATCCAGCACTCAGTGAGGACGAGAATGTTTGGCCCAGGACGGAAGGGATCCGGGTACACGGCGACCGGTCGGAGGTAGACGTCACTGTTGTCTCCAGGTGCCTGGCCGGTTGCTAATGAGGTCAGACAAAACGAGGTGAAAGAGGAGGTTCCCGTGAATGCTTACAGGATCCATCGAAGTTCCACACTGGGAGGTCCTTCGGCGTGTAGCCTTCCTCCTTGTATTTCAAAGTCTGGATGTGTTGTCAGCAGTGGCTGAGGTCTGTGTTGCGAGACGGAACTCACGCGCGACTTGGAGCGCGTACCGCCTTCGGCGTCGATCCTATCCAAGACAAGTTCTTAGCACAACGCATCATGCACCGTTGCATGAAAATACCCACCAGACGTATTCGGCCATGATATTTCCCTTCTGGTCCAGATCCTGGTATTTTTTAAGGAGGCCTTGGTTCGAAGGTATGGGGTTCGCCTTTTGCGGTCAGCCAAGTTCCATCCGCCAGGGGCAGCGGGGATAAGACTCACCATGGTTGCGGTATTGCGTTCTGGTTGGGCAAGGCGTTGTTCGTTCTGTTCAGTTCAGTTCCGTAGAGGCAATGAAAAGCGCGAAGCAGGACAGAAAGAGGAGCGATAGCCCTTGGGTTTTAAGGAATGGAAAAAAGGACGCAGCCGGCAGGGTCTTGTGTGTCCGATTGACTGCTCTGATGGGAACGAAGGAGGGGCGCCACAACTTTTGGTACTTGTGCTGTACTACAGGCACGTAAACGGCTTATCAATAATAGCTGGGCACTTTCCCATTGGCCAGGTATAGCTGTACCTGCTTTCGTACGGAGTCTTTGCTGAAGTTGATGTCAAGCAAGTCTGGCCACTAGCAAACCGTGAGATAAGGCTCAGCACCGTGGTTCGCCACTTTTGCCCGTTTACGAATTTAAATAGGTAGCAGCTGTCGGCCTCCACAAATGGCTCGTCTCCAGTTGGTTCGACGTCACTAGGCTCTCCTCTGCCACAGCCGCTCGAGTCGAGCCGCTCGACAGATCACGAGTCAACTTGCCGAGCGACTAGATAGGTAGCATTGGGCGTTTGGACTTGCTGGACGGCACTGCGATGAATAGCCCGGCGCGTACATAGCTCGCGCGAAATCGGGACAGCACCTCTGAAACGCACGATACTGTTGGGAGCATCTCGTCCGCATTGCGCATGACTGCCCCCGCCTCAGCAGTCGCGCGTCCCTTGCAGGCTACTTAGTAGCCAGCTAGGATCAGAACCCCTCCCCCCACTTCGTTACTAACCTTGAATGCTCCCCACACCAGCCAGCCCTGCCCGCCAGTTGGGTGAGCCAATGAGCTGATACTAGGGGACTGAGACTGTGCTCCGATAGCCAATTTTCAATTGGTTGTCCTCGGATCTGGGGTTGAACGGGGAACGGGGAACGGGGCTATCTGGACCATCGGATATACCATAGTATATACCCTTACCCACCCCTGCACTCTGGAGCTGGCTGTTCCCACGCGTTTGCTCTGGTGTGAACCCCCCAAGAAGAATCAAATCTTCTGAGTCTTGCACCAGGCACACGAACCGCCCATGTTCTAGAAATTAGATGCAACCTCCCACTCGAAACGCTGCACTCATCTCGAGAAATCCATCAATCGCTGTGGGACTCGTACGAAATATCGCCTGCTCACCGCAGGACGCCGCCAACCTTCTCCTCGTGCTCCCAAATGCCACGTCTGATGAGACCTTCATGACCGTTGGCTTACAGTCGAGTCCACATGTGCTCTTGAACGAGCACTGTGGAGCAAGCTGGCAGAAATAGTAACAACGCCGGTCGACGAGACTTTCTGCGATATGTACCTCAGGCGGCCAGGCGAGGGTTCATGACAGTCGCGGTACCTCTAGGAGATAGTTCCCAATGTGTGAAGCGGTTAATATAAACCCAGTGGGAAACTGTCGATAAAGCTAGTGGCTGATTGTGAGTAAGTCAAACTGGAGCTTTTAATGAATGCACCTATATTCGGCTCCTGTCGCCATACGTGTGGCTTAGGTACTTTCCACCCATGTTCGCGGCGAGCGTCAGCCAGAACATATCACGACATCTTGTCCGACCAGAGGAATGTTCCGAGATGTCCGGAGGGAAAATCGTATAGAATGCACAGAGTGCCCTGGTCATCCTATGCGACCACGTTGCCGTGGCCGATACGTTCATGGAGATCGAATGTTGTTTCATAAAGTATTAAAAACATTCATTTGTAATATAGCAAACATTTCGCTGCGGTGCTACCAATTTCATTTGGCGTTTTCACATATGGGAAGTCATGCTTCCAACCTGGCCCAGGGTGGTCTGTCATAATTTCTCGGGCAAAGAATAGCCGTGGGAATGTTATTGTAAATATCATTGGAAGTGACCGAATGCAAATATTTGCATCCCGTGGCTCTGCTCAGCGTATCTCAAAAACGTGCTCCGGTAAACTCTCATAGAACTGTTCCTTCAGCGCGGCCCCGTCCATCATACCGTGGACATAACACTCTCCTTTGAGTTGGTACCAGAAGTATGGGTCGTCCTTCTCTGCCTGCTGGGCTCTCTGATCCCTCAGACTGGGGTTTATCTCCATGGTTCGGCTGCGGTCCGAGACACTCACCGATGGGCGTGGCGTTCTCGATGTCTCCACGTAGGAGGAGCGGCGCTCGGCCTTGCCATTCACCTGGCCGTCAACGGTAGGTCCATCATTGGTCTTTCTGATATTCTCCACCGCCTCAATGCTTTTCTTCACTGCTTCAGCCATAAGCTTCTTGGAGTCTTCCTTCCGCTTCTTGTCAGCACGCTCCTCTTCGGCCCAACGTCTCATCTCGTCTCTCGTGGACTCGGTCAGCGTTCTGATCTCTTCCATCTCGTCCTCTTTCCACTTTGATTTGGAAAGTTCCGCATACCTCGCCCTACGCAGGCGCACTTGCTCCAGATTCCGAGCCTGCTTCCTTAAGTACTCGCCAAGATCCTGGAACTTCTCATCTTCCAGGTCTTGCGGTAACTTTTTTGGTGATTGCCTCAGCACCACCGGGACCGTACAGCCGTAGAGGATACAAACCAGATCACCCTTCTCGACGCTATCGGGCACGAGGCCCAAGGCCTCCTTGTCCTTGTCTTTGTCCTCGTTGTCGCTGTCCTTCTCATTGTTGTCGTTATTGTCGTTGTCATCAACGACGTTTCCCTCTAGAACGATTTTCACAAGCTTCCGGTTCCAAATGACAGCTTGAACGCGGCGGCAGTACTCTGCAATGATCGAGTTCCGCTCATTGTGAATCAGCTCTGTGGTAGAGACCGCACCGCCGAGAAGCCCGCCCTTGGCAACCGACTCGGCACATGCCCTTGCATAATAGTAAGGCGGATTTCGATTGTCGTTCCCTCGGTCGGCAACCAAAGTCCTCCAGAACGCCTCGGGCGGCTCTTTGTTGTGGCCGTCCTCTTCCAGCACGGCTTCCCATCCGCCCAGCTCTTTTTTAAACCACCCCTGAGGCACAGCCCCGTTCTGAGAAGGCGGGCCTACCTTGTCAACTCGGCCAAGGATGAAGCCTTTAGCAAAGAGACTGAAATGGTCCTTTCGTTTTCTGAATTTCAATTTCGTGAAGTCGGGTGACTTGGTTTGCGCCGCAGTGTAGTTCCTCTGCCCGTCCTCAGGTAATCCGACAAGTGGGTCGGCGTGCCTGCGGCCCATTTTCTTGACGTTCGCGATTCCTGGATTCCGAAAGAGTGCATACGGCGCTCTGTCCAGAGTGCCTATCCAGGAAGGTAGAGCGATATCGGGGGGTTGCTCCGAGTTCACATCCGGCTCAGGGATAGGGAAAGGGAAGTGTTTGAGAATCTCCTTTCGTACGCCGCACTTTTCGGACTCATCCCCTTGTAGGCCGTGATGTCGGATCGCCTTCTCAATTGCCTCCTTCCAGTATTGTTTGTTTTCGCGGTTGTCTTTCTCGCGAGGAAGACGGTCCAGGTTCTCTAACTTCAAATCCTTCTTTTCCCACACCGGAGCCTCTGCTTTCGTACGGGCCGGCTCCGTTTTGGTTTTCTCGTACTGTGAATTACCATCTATACCGTCTTCAACATCCCCAGGGCTAAGTTTTACACTATGCCCTCTATTAGAGGCTTTTTCTGAAGTATTTGGAGGAAAAGTTGCATCTCCCGACGGTCCTTCGGAAACAGGATCTTCTGATGCAGAATCACTGCGTCGTATATCGTTGGGACTGTGAGGCACAAGTTCTCGGTCATTCACCGCGGATTTCTTAATGATATGAAAGCTGCTCCTCTGGGCACACAGTGGCGCCGTTGAACGGCCTTTGGTCCGCCTCCTCTTCTTCTCCTTCTTTGGATCGAGTGCTATTGCCCACGGACGACAAATGATATCCAAGGCTCTCGAGGGATCCGTTGCCCGAGTGCGCTCGACACAGAATTGAACGAAGTTGGCACAAACCTCGGAGTATGGAAGGTCGTAATCGACGGAATAAGGCTTCTGGACTATAAAGGTCGACAATATCTTTGTGAGTCGAGCTTCATCATCGCTACGGTCCAATGCAGAGCGTACGTCCGCAAGGGGTGTCGTGTCTCGTGCGATAGCCAGCAGCGAGTAGATCACGTCCCTGGGCTCTGAAGCCTCGACTGGTTTTCGAGTTAGCGATCTCTTCTTCGAGTTATTGAGGTATCGACAAGGAAACAAAATCTGTCCTTCCCGGTCTTGCAAGTGACTTATGAATTTGGTCCATGTAAAGGCAGGAATTGACAACACTCACAAGTAAAAAGGCTTGACACAAGATATTCGAGACTCTGTAGGCCACGCTGGTCGGCAGTATATTTGCGTGGCTTGTACCTACGAAAGATCTTCCCCGTCGCGGAGACCAGCAGGCTCGCCCCCAGCTGGGAGACATACTCAAACCAACCGGGGACATGGTAGAACCGCTCGTCCTTCTGGATGACCTCGGAGAGGCGGTGTGTTGCCGTCTCAACCTCGACGAAGAGTTCCACAGCCACAGCAAAGTCATCCCAGGCGATGATGTCCGGGCCGCAGTATATGGTGGCTTTCTGGGCGAGAGCAATCTCCTGGACTACCCAGCGGCGCGAGAACCAGGGGCGCTGCATCAGCATCAGCAGCGCCCGCCACTTGTCTGCATTCTTCTTGTTGGAGCAGACGGCGTCGAAGTTTTCAAAGTTCAGGATATCCTCCTTGACAAACTGGATAGCGAGGTTGCTGTCGTCGTCATCCTCCCCGAGCCAGACGCATACCCCGGAGGCCTTTGTATAGATGAGGGACATCATTTGGACCTGGTGATTACGCTCTTGAGTATTTTCCTGGTCGATACATATGGCATCGATCCACAGAAGGCGATTCCTGTTCTTGTGACGGAGATATTTCAACGCCAAGGCAAGCTCTCGGGTGACCTTCATTTTGTATATGTTCTCACCCCTGGTGATCAACAGGGCGCGGTCCCTGTTCCCGGTACCCCAGCACCACGACAGCGCTTCGTAATTTTGTTGACTATCCTGGCCGAGGACTGGTAGTTCATATTTTTCCGTGTACTCGACATCGATCAGCTCACATTCGATGGTCGTATTCTCGTAGAAGCCCGGCTTCAGCCGTAACAACCGTATCCATTTCCCGCTCGATAGCTGTTGGTACTTGAAGTCATCCGTCATCTGCATGTTGCGATCGTCATATCCCATGACCTTGGAACGCGCATCTCTAGTGGATTGCGGATGGATGTCAGAGGGAATGATGCTGTACGACTTGTTCCCCACAAGGACGCTCAAGTCTCCCGGGAGACCCGCCGGCCTATCGGGCGGCATCTTCTTGTCTGCGAGACTCATGTGGTCGAACGGTGCACGATTAAGGCCGAATTATCAATTCCATTGAGAGGTGAAAGATTGCTGCCCCACGAGTATTTCCAAGACCGCAAGCCTCCGTATTATAGGTGCCACGTCGAGTCGATCTGGCCATCCTATCCATTGAGAACTCAGAGTGGCGGCGACCGACACGGGTAGCATATGTCGCAGAGCCTCAAGTATTGAACTACATCTCCCTATTGGGTGGTCTGTATGAGACACCGGCATGGTACAATAAGATGCTTGCAGATTTGAGGCAAACTGCTTCCTATCGGCGAGGTTCATTCCCCTGTCTGCCCTGTAAGCGAGCGCAGCCTCGCCCGCCCCGAGGTGTTCGGATCCCAGACTCTCAATGCACAACACCAGAAAAAGATATCTGTGAACGCCTCAAACTCAAATAGAAGGGAAAGATGGTGGTCAGCTGAACGAGGTTCCTGCACTGCGTAGCCGGTGGCGGAAATTGGCCAACCATCGAGTCAAATTGTAGCGCTTGTATGCAGTGACTTGGCGAAACAGAATGCAGCATTCCTGTGACACAGCGGGATAAAATAAAGCAATATTACCTTCCATTATAGTTGGAAATCGGTGAACGATAAGACCTCTGTCCGTTTCGTCTCAGCCTCGCAGAGCTGAGTGTCAAGCTGGGCCCCCTCCCTTTCCCCATGCCATGCTGCGGAAAATCGCGACATCGTTTGCGTGCACACGGTCACGATATCTTTTGTGCCAGTCTGGGTGAAAATATTAACAATCTAGTGTCTGTATTACCAGCAGCTCTTAGTCAAAGCAATATACTTTTTGGTACGACTTTGGCACCCACCAGAAACTTGGGTCACACAGAACGGACGCAGGGCCAATCAGGGATAAACAAGAACAAACTCAGACCGGAATAGACAATACTGACCTGCCCTTACTTTGAGATAAATGCGAGTCTGGGATGAATGCATGACTCCAGGGTAATAATTGTTGGCATGGTATTGTAAATCACACACATGGGAAGGGCAGAGCCAGGTAATTACACCAGGAGTAGTAGTCACAGTACGATATCGTCCCATTGGTTAGTTTTCACTCCACAGCGACAGCGTCAATGCGTATACCCCAAAAGAAAGGAACACATCAAATCTTTCGATCATCACTTGCGAGTCCAGTGTTTGGCAGTTGCTTTGATTCCACAGAGCAATTTACCAAGTTGAGCAAAGGAGATAACAAAATTACAGCAGTCTCTACCAGTGGCTGCTTAGCAGAATTTTGTGGGCTTTTGCTGCATCAAACTCCCTCACAAACAACTCGTACTCCGCTTGGGAAGTTTACCAAATTCCACCCTATCTCCGCCAATATCACGATCAAGATGAGATGGGAATATATAGATGGAGAGTTCAAACGCCAAGCATTACTGCGGGGGGTATAAGACGAGTCCCTATCTGATACGAAAACAACCACGATGTCTGAAATGTGTACCGATGGACGGCAGCACCCAATTATTAAGTCACCATGGTGAGCAGGAGACATTTATGCAGTCGCTCCCGCCGCAGCCCCGGCCCCTGCAGCCTCGAGCCTAGCGACCAACTTCTTGACGCTCGTCCACTCCTCGGCCCTCACGCCGTCCTTACCGCCGAGATCAGGGCCGACCTCGAAGACGGACACGGTCGAGTCGATCCCGCCCGTGGCAAGCCTCTTGCCCTCGCTCGCCTCCCAGACCACCTTGTTCAAGCTCTTGCTCAGGAGCTGGCGGCCCTCCTTTCGGGCCGTGGGGCTGATCTTGGCGATGGGGATCTCGGTCTCCACGCTGATATCCCAGATCTCCAGCGAGCCAGCCCCGTCCACCAGCGCAAAGACGCCAGGACGCACGGGCGACCAGGCGGCGTCATAGACGACGTCCTCACGAACAAGATCCAGCAGCGGGTGAATCGACGTGCCAGCAGACTCAACTACCGTGGACGTGGCAGCCGGGGCACGAACCTTCCACAGCTTCACAGACCAGTCGAGCGAAGAGGACAGAACCAGATCACCCAGGTCGACCGGGCCGCGTGGAGGGTGGAAGGCGACCGACATGACAGGGGCCGCGTGGCCCTTGTAAGCAACGCGGGTATCGATGCCGGCCTTGGCGCCGGCGCGGTCGTAGCGATGGCAAGGATAGATGGGGCCCTCCTCGGAGCCAACGAGGAAGTAGGTCGGGTCGGCAGCAGGGAAGGCCATAGTCGTTGGAGCGACATCATCGAACTTGCTGGGGTGCGGGTTGGTCAAGGTAAGTTGCTCTTGCGGTTGTGAGAGCATATCGACAGACCAAACACATAATTGGCCGTCGGTGGATACGGATATGATGTTGTTGGCATTTTGAGTGCCGACAATGTCGACTGAGTAGACGGGGTGCGAGTGACCGGTGCCCGTCAGGGGCGTCTTCTGCACAGGGGCAGACTTGGCGCGCGTGTCCCACAAAAGAACCTGACCAGAGTATGTACCGCCAATGATGAGATTTGGATGGAATGGAGAGAACTTGGCGGTGAGAATATCTGACTGGGCGTGGAAAAGGAATTCAGGTCGGTCATGTAGATGTGAGTTCCATACCTGCACGATGCCGTCCGGGTCGTGCGGCGCGGATGGGTTCTTAGTGTAGGAAGCCAGAAGCAGCTCTGGGAACTTGGGCGAGAAGTCGATACTGCTCACCATTCGCTTCTTTGACCAGCGTTCATCATAGAATTGCACCACCTCCTTGACCCGCCGGCGGCCTTTTCCTGCCGTGTTGCCCGTCTGCTCCTCGTCATCCTCTAGGCTCTGGATTTGCAAAGTGTAGTCGGTCAAGACGTCGTATTCCTGGTCCAACGCCCGCTCGATGACCTTGGTCGACCTCTCGACGAAGTCGAAGAACTCGTCGGAAGCCGTGACAGCATTCAGCTCCTCGTCCGTAAGTGCCCGGGCAGGGAAGTTGGAGGTGTTCACCGCGCCGCCAGATAGAGGACCACCCTGGAGGCGCTCCCGAGCCTCGAGCAGCTCCTCCTCGATCTCGTCGCGGATCTTCTGTCTCAATTCCTCTTCCCGGTCCCGCTCTCTTCGGCTCTGCCTCTTGCTTGGTGTCGAGGTGACGCCGGGCAGGTCATCCTCCTCGGGCAACTCTGAAAAGGCCCGCCCCCGCGACGTAGGTGGTGCCCAGTCCTCGGTTGTCTGCGCGGCCGTGCTGTAGGTTACGACCTCCTTTACGGGCGATGGCGGGCACTCGTAGACGGTCTGCAAGGCGACAGTAGTGAGCACCTGGGGTTGCGACGGCGCGGCTGCCGCCTGGCCGGGAGCCTGTGACTGTGATGCGAGATCCGAGGCCTCGGCGCTCAGCTCGCCGCCACTGAGGACGCTGGTCGGGCGGCTCCCCTTGGGCACGGGAGACGAGGCGCCGGTGGAGACGGGTCTGCTGTCGCCGACGAGGGAGCTTATAAGCGACTCGATATCTTTGCGGTTATCTCGTCCGGGTGTCGGGGCTATGAGCTGTGGACGGTTGGCGGTTAGCAAGCTGGATGGAAGAGCTGGAAAGGGGGGCGGTGGTGTGCAGCATACATCACTCGGGCTGCCGCTGCCTCTCCCAGTATCCTTGGCCCGCAGCTCCCTCTGGCGCTTCAACTCGGCCAGCTTGGCCCGCTTGGCCTGGATCTCATCTCTTCGTTGCTTATCCATGCTGCAGTCGTTTTGTCACCAGACCCATGCCGGGTCGGATTCCTGGCCGGGCGCTCTCCCGCGCAAGACGACGATGATGGTAGAAGTTAAGGAGCTTGATGTGGTGCAATGCGGTGCCGTGTTCGATGACTCTACCAAGGCAAGATCTGGATCGGTGGAAAGGCGTAGCTGTGGCCGTGGCAGCACAGCCGAAGAGCAAGGTCGCGGGAGGAATGTATCAAGGAGGGAGTTGACGGCACATCAAACTAGGCGGCCGAGATGTCGATGCGCGTCGCCTCTGCCTTTGTTACCCGCGAACTGCACTACAGCACAGTAAGTTACCCAGGACCACTGGCAGTCACCGTAGCAGCACATGCCGCAGCCCGTAGCCCGTAGCACGTAGCCCGTAGCACGTAGCCCGTAGCACGTAGACAAAGCGCGTGGGGCCCATCTGCGGCCCTTGCTCCTGGCCAACTGGCTTGGGGGGACCCCCTGTCCGGTTCCTGAGCTGCCTGAGCTCCAACTGAGAAAAAAAAAGTCCGGGGGTCTGTCGGCCGTCGTGTCCTGCTCGTCGCCCCGGTGAATTATCGGCAAAGCGCAAAAGTCGAAGAGCTGGGGGCGAGCCGCGAGCTCTGTCTGGCTGGTCTGAAAACTTGCTGCCAAATATCCCGACCTCATCCGACGACTGAAGCCCGTGATCGATAACCGCGCAAATCCAACCACCGTCACCACCTCCACCGCTCGACCACCGCCAGGCCCAATTGGCAACGCGCTCCCTTGTCTTTGCTACCGCCAGCAGTCGCGCGACGAGAAAACCAACCAGCCGGCCCAATGTCTGCCACTTCGGGAGTCAACGTACGTTCTTCAATCGTTCTGTGCTTTGCGTCTTCCTGCCGTTGCCAGCCTTTCCGCATCTCGCCGTCCTGCTGCGGCTTGCGACACGCACAGCTGGGTGCATTGTCTCCTTGCGACGGCCGAACAAGAGGGAAACCCCAACAGAAGGCTGACAGTGAGGCTGACATTCCTTGATCCACAGGTCCTCCGCTACTCGGCCCTGGCCTTTGGCGTCTTCTACGGCTTCACCCACCAGCGGACCATCACGGCCACCCAGCACGCCGCCCACGCCCAGAAGGAGTACGAGCACAAGCAGCAGTTAATAGAGCAGGCCCGCGCCAAGTTCGCCGAGTCCAAGAACCCCAAGGCCCAGAGCACCGAGAAGAGCGGCCGTACGTTGTTTTCGTCCCTTCCCACCCGTCCTCTTTCCCCCACCCTTGCCACCCAGATATCGGAATGTTGCTGTATACTGACCCCAATCTCAAACAGTGAACCAAGACCCCATGTCCCCCAACTTCGACCTGGAGGCCCTCTTCACCGGCCTCATGGACCAGAAGGCGTAAATTAGCCGGATGGCGAACAACGGGGAGGATTTAATGTGACGGGGTAGGAGACCGAAAAAGCCATCGCGAAAAGGACAAAATATTTAAACCAAAAGGGACCCAAGCGCTCAATGGAAACCCCCCTTATCGAAAGAGGCTGGAACGCCCGGCCAAGGTCCGAAAAGCTTTGATGGCAGGAAGGGGGACAGAGACGGGGTCGGTGTACGATTGCTGCGAACGCTCTCGGAAAAGGAAAGAAAGAAACGCAAGCCTCATAGAGTTGGTTTTCCTTGGGTTCCTGTGTATATGTAACCATACGAACAACCTAGATCTGATTTGTTTTTGGGTGCGGCTCAAATCAATGTGATGATCAAGATTTTACGCCATGTCTTTTTTTTCGTATGCCTCCCAAGACTCGCTTGACGCAGAAGTTACCGTCGCAATGCCTTCTTTTCCCTCTTTCACTACGGCGAGACTAGACTAGACTACAGCTACGTAATACAAACACAAGACAGAGAGAGCATCCGTCGTATCTCTGAACCCATTACTGCTCTGGCAGACACTCCTCAGAGGTCGCTCGGCATACCCTATTTTCCATTTTCCTGTCCCATCTACTCCATATCGTCCACGGCCCAGACGCTGGCCCCTTTCTTCTGCACGCTGGTCCTGAGCTTGCCCAGGACGACGGCCCGCCTGTCCTTCCGCTCCTTGACGGCCTTCTTCTCGGCGTCGCCGAAGCCGCTCATCTTCTTGCGCGGCGGCGTCCGGCCGAACATGCCGTTGCCGATGCTGCTGACCGAAGCCGAGACCGAGTGCCGCATGACGCTGTTGCGCGTCGGCGTGCTCTCGCGGATGGACCGGTCGGGCGAGAAGAGCATGGACGACCCGAGGAGCTTCTTGGGCGTCGGGGTGCCCTCGCGGCTCCGGGTGCTGGCGCCGAGTAGGGGCCCCGGCGAGGCGAAGCGGAGCTTGCGCATCTGGTTCTCGAGCACGTCGATGTCGCCGCTACGCTTCTCGGCCATGCTCGTCATCTTGGCTATCGTCCGCATGATGGCCTCAACGGTCGGCGTTGAGCTGGTCTTGCCGTTGGCTGCGTTGGCGGATGCAATCTTGGCCTTGAGCAGCGTCAGAGCCTCTTCCGCCTCCGCGAGCAGCTTGGTGAACCGAGCAAAATCTCGACGGAGGTCATTCTGTCGCGCCGCTTGCTCCGCTGTGAGCGGAAGAGCGCGGTTGGCCAGCGCTTGATCGGGGTCTATCTTTGCGTTGATCATCTTCTGCAGATCGTTGCGCTTGTTCCGGTCCCGTGCTAAGTCGCGCTGAAGATCTATACATTCGGCAATCTTTTCTTGCACGTTGACGACCCGGGCGTCCGAAAGCTGCACAACCAGATCCTCCGAGATGATGTCGTAGAGATCCTCCAGCTCGCCAAGAGTCCAATCATCGGCGTTGGCCAGTTCGTCTGCTTCCCTGCGATGATCGCGGCGCAAAGCTTCTGCGTGGCCTTTGATGAAACTTGTCAATGAGCGAGCATTCAGACCGAGGGTGTCGATCATGGCGTTGATATCGCGATAGACGGCTTCGACCTGCGCAGGGATATTGTCATCGGCCAGAGGTAGTGGGCCAACATGGGCAATAAATTCGTCAAGCTGAAGCGTCGGCTCGACTGGGGCGCTCAGTTGCGCTTGTCTCAGATCATCTTCCTCATCCACGAGCAACTGGGTTTCTTCAGCTTCCTTCCTAGCCCTGGCTCTGCGTTGCTGTTCCAGTCTTGGATCTACGAGCGCTTCCTTGCTAACGATCGGAGCGCCGCGGCTCTGTGGTCGTCTGGACGCGCCAAGGATCTGAGATGCCATGCCGGGGGCGCTGAACGAGCGCTTTTGATCACTGATCAACCGGGAAGGTATCGCACCACGGACAGGGCTGGGCGACCGTGGGCTGACTGGGTTGGGTTGCGGTAGAGGAGGTATACTTTGACCCATCTCACCGAACAGACTCCTGCGTTCTGGCTCGGGCTTTGATATCGTCGAGAAGCTTCCGCCCAGGCCACCAAAAGAACTTCCAGGTGTGATGGACGGAGTTGTTTTGTCCTTTGTGCCTGACGGCGGACTCAAGTCCTTTGCAACATCAATGCCACTTCCCTCGCTAGCTTGGTCGCTTTCATCATCTTCCTCCTCGTCATCACCTTCACCCTCTTCATACTCATCGCCTTCTCCATCCTCATCTTGCTCCTCGTCTTCATCCACCTCGTCCTCACCTTCTCCGTCCTCGTCGCTAGAGGAGACGGGCGGGAGGTCAGTTGGGAACAGGAAACCTGACTTGACTGGCTTTGCCGCAGCGTCAAAAATCGAAGCCGTCTTACCAGTCGACTTTTGGCCAGCGCCCCAGCTGGATGTTGATGCCTGCGACGGCTTGGCTGAGCCGAAGAGCGACCCTGACGTCTCTGCTGGTTTAGCGGAGCCAAAGAGGCTACTAGTAGTGCTGGCTTTTGCGCCGCCAAAAATGGAAGGAGATTTTTCGACTGGTTTTCCGGTGCCAGGAATCGGGGGGAGTTTCACATTGTCCACCTTCTTGTTTGTGGTGGGATCGGGAGGTAGAGGTGCATCATCAGGAGGTGCGGCCTTGGGTTTGGCCTGTCCAGGTAAGGCGTCGTACTTGATATCGTAAAGCTGTTCGTTGGACAATGGATCCGGAGGTAAGGGTGCATCATCAACGGGCGATTCCGGCTCGGAAAGCAGATCGTCGTCTTTGGAATTCGACGAAGGAAAGTCAGGTGGCAACGGGGCGTCGGTAGGGCTTGCGCGAGTGGCCGGAGAATCTGCTGCAGAATATGCTGATGAGGATGAGGAGTCTCCAAGTGGATAAGGAGCCTTACTAGTAGTATCCGGCGGCAGAGGGATATCCGGAATATCGTTCAATGGTTTGGGGCTTTCAGCCTCAACCTTTACCTGTGGAGTAGATCCTGAAGTTCCACTTGCGCTTCCAAACAAGCCGCTCGAGCTCTTTGATGGACCGCCGAAAAGCCCACCACTCTGTGGCGGAGCAGCGGCTTGAGAGAAGAATTTCGAGGGCGCCGGCGTAGAAGTCGGGGTTGTCGACTGGGTACTGCTGGACATTTGATTGCCAAACAAGCCGGAACCTGCGGGTTTTGAGGCTTCACCCAACGTCGAGCCGAAGCCGCTGCCGAAGAACGAACTGCCGTCTTTTGGTTCGTCGGGGGTAACACTTTCTTCTTTGGCATTGGGGTCAGGTTTGAAGCTGGATTGAAGCTTGAATGGGGTTGCCCCGAAGACACCCCCAGAGCTCGCAGCTGGCTTCGATGTTGCTGGTGGGAATGATGTATTCGTACCATTGTCCATGGAAACGTCCGCAGCCGGCTTGCTGGAAGCGAATATGTTGGAACCACTGCTGCTGTTGTCAGCGCCCAAAGAGGCAAAACCACCTTTGTTGGCGAAACTAGCAAATCCCCCAGAGGCATTAGCTGCGGATGAGCTGCCGAACACACCAGTGGTCTCCTTCGCGGCAGTTGCAAATCCTGACTGCCCGAAAGATGGTGAACTCGTAGTAGATGCACCGGTCGCCCAAGGGGAGGATTTTGCCCCGAGGCCAGACGCCTGCCCAAAAGCAGCTCCACCGCCTGCTTGGCCGAAGGAAGGGGTTCCGAAGGATGGCTGCCCGAATTTCGGGGCGATGGAGGCAGTTCCGCTGCCAAAGGTACTAGAACCGAAAGCGGCACCTCCTGGGCTTGCATTGGATGCAGGCTGAGCTCCCCAGACGGACGGCTTTGCACCCAATGCCGACATGCTGCCAAAAGCAGACCCAGTGCCTGCACTTAGGGCTCCGAAGGACGGGCCACTCGGGGCACCAAACGGGTTTGCCTGTGGTGTCTGAGGCGGCTGAGTAGATGGCGCACCTGATGCTGCGCTTGCACTCGCCTGTGCAGCTGCTATACCGGGGTACGTTGTGCCACCTCGGATCGACTCCGTATATATAATCCACCAGGCGGACAAGACACCTTCGTAGTTCAGAACCCAATAGGCGGGTAGAGGACCGGGAGACTGCTCCATCTCGTCGGATGGTATGGGCTTGTAGACAGGCTCCTTGGCTGATAGGTCCAACGCCGTGCCAATCGGAAGAGGGGTGTCCATGTTGTCGCCCATTGGCAGCGTTGCCCGTTTGGAATCGTCCAGTAACTCGGTTGTTGCAAACGTGTTGGTGATGTTGTCATCCGACAATGCAGTCTTGGATCGAGTGAGGAGACCGATATCTGGAGTAGCAGTCGAGGAGAAGATCAGCAGATCCTGCAGGTTCGGAGGGAAGTCCTTCAACCGTGCTACTGTGTGATGGGGGACCTTGTCACTTCCGAAAGGATCGACGGGGTCAGTCAGTCTCTGGAAGGCGAGGTCCTGGCCTTGACGTGTGATTAAATGGTACACGGATTGCGGCGGGTCTTGCGCTGTGGAAACATGGACCGACAGCAACACGTCGTTCTCCAGCCAAGCCAGGAAGGAGACTGTACGTTGATCAGTCAGCTCACAGAGGACTGCGTCTATGTTAGGAGAGGTACTCACCAAAATGATTGGGTTCCAGGTCCGGAGGGTAAGGGAACTGTGCCTTGACATCGCCCTCGGGTGTCATTTGCTGTATCGTGCCGTCTCCGAGACCGACGATGATTTGTTTACCCTTGTTACTCCACGCTACGCAGCTGGCTTGGGTCTTCAAGGTCTGCCCATTGGGCCCGGAGACGAAATTCTTCTCCTTCATGCTGGCCATGAGTAGATTGCCTTTGTCCGTGACAACGGCGCACAGCTCGCCCTTGGCGGCTTGCGGGTTGGGCACCAGGGCCCGAAGCCCCTCGCCATTGGTGGGTATCTGGAAGGACGTCTGCGTAGAGCCTCCAAGCAGGGCCTGAACGTCATAGACGGCCAAGCCACCGCCGACTTCAGCGGCCATGATCAAGTGGTCCTCGTCGGCGGTGAAGGCGAGGTGGGATATGCGCGTCGGGAGAGGGATCTTGGCCTGGGGCGCAAAGGGGCGAACGTCGCTGTCGCCATCCTTCTGAGCCTCGAAGGCCTTTCGTACCGAGTCGGTCGTGGCAACGGAGATGGCGTCGGGGCCAGCAGCAGCAACCAGGCCTTTCCGAGATGCAATGCTGATGAGGGAGGCGTTCGGGGAGGGTGCAGGAGACCAAGGCGAGGTCAAACGGACCCTGGCCTCGCCGGCCAGGGCAAGGAAGCCCAGGCGCTCGGTCTGGATCAGAGCCAGGTCGGGGCCTTTGTTCAAAGCCATTGTGGCCGGATTCCGCGGGGAGATCAAGCTGGCATCTGGTGGTGGAAAAAAGCCGTGCAGGGAAGTGAGATGTAGCAGTCAGAGGCTACAGGTCGGCGTCGAGCGATGAGTCGTCGGGACGGGCTGCGGCAGGCAGGGAAATCTGCGGCGTCGATGACGATGTCGTTGTCGTTGTCGTTGTCGTAAATCGTAGTCAAGGCGTCCCAGCAACTCCTAGAACAAGCGAAATCGGCATCAAGATGGTCGTACCAAGCGCCTGGTTTTCTGCGGGCGGGCGGTGGTGACGGGCACGTAACGATGAAGCTCTATAATTTTTTGGTTGGCGTAACTACCGCGCCTGGCCTGGAGCAAAGCTTCCCCTTGCAGATTACATTAGTGACAAGACAGCTGGAGGGAGAGCTGGGTAGCGCTGGGCAGCCTTGGGGTGCGTGCCTGGTCAGGTGCTAGGCAGCTAAGGCAGCGCTGTAGTTACTATGGCAGTATGGATGGCACTGCGGTACAGCAGCTGCCTCGCTACCTACTAAGTGCCCCCTAGGCCAAAGTAAGCCAGGTAACAGGCTTGAAGCCGGGCAGTCCATTGGCTGTGGCAGGTTGCGGCTGCGACAGGGGTGCGGGGCCCGGGCCAAGCGAGCCGTTGTGTTCTCCCAGCTTTTCCAGGGCTGGCTTTGGCTGGCCACGCTGGCTGGCGGCCGCTGTAGTAGGTACGGAGCCGTGGGCAGCAGGGCGCCGATGGTTGCCCTGGCAACGAGGTTCTGTGGGGCCCGGGGCTGCATCCAACGGGCTGGGTTGGACCAAAATAACAGAAGCCTCCAAGCTAAATAAAACACCGTCTCCTTTGGAAACTGCTCACACGATATTCTCCGTTCGTTCTACACCGCATTCTGCACTCGTCTGCCCACGCCGCCCCCGCCGCTTGGCCTCTTCTTCTTCTTCTTCCTCTTCGCTGACGCTGCCGCGACCTTCTGGAAGCTCTTGTGTCTGCCGTCGACTGCACCCGCTGTGTTTGTTTTTCACCGCCACATTTCTCAGCATCTGCACCTCCGCCTTCCGGGCATACCCCAGGTATACAGTGTCGTCATCTACTTTTGCGCAATCGCAATCCGCAATCCGCAATCCGCTCGTATACTTCCAACCGGGCAGCCGCAAGCCAACCGCGCGCCCTCGCTGATCTCTCCTCCTGCTGCCGCTTGGGAAGTATCAGTCGGCTGACTGCGGCGACGCCAATGGCTCCTTCATCAAAACATGCCCACTTTGGGCAGATCATCGAGTATATACCAGGTATGTTTTTTTTTGGTTGTTTCCTATATCCCGCTGCCCTCTCGTGCGCCCAGCAGACGACATCTTGTCTCTGCCAGCTGCATCATCATAATGTCGCTGCTCCGCCCTTCCGACGGAATAAACTCCAGGCCGCAGGACAAATTGTCCGACAAGCTGCACAACCCCGTCGCCCTGTTACAACCGAACTGGCTCACCGCTTTGGACTTCCCGCTAACTCTGAATCGTGTTCAAGACCGGCTATACCTTGCATCCTACACGCAGGCTCCAACTCCCGAAACATTCTTCCCCTACCCCGAAGCGCCTGTCCGATCACCGAACAAGCGGTCCTCCAGGGCCGTTAACGGCCCCACCCCGGTTGCGGCCAAGTCAGACCGCCAGCCGCCCTGCTACTTCACCGTGGACGACCAGCTCTTCTACAATGCTTTCCACCATGATTTCGGCCCGTTCCATGTCGGCCACTTGTACCGATTTGCCCTCCAGTTTCACGATGTGCTCGGCGCAAAGGAGAACCAGCACAGGCCAATCGTGTTCTGGAGTCGCGCCGACCCTAGAAGTACGTCCTTGTCCTCCACCGCCATGGGCGTGGCTCCGCATACTTGATTCCGCCGTACTGACAATGAGAAACTAGGTCGTGCAAACGCCGCCTGCTTGCTCGCATGCTACATGGTTCTGATTCAGTCATGGCCACCTCATCTGGCACTGGCCCCTATTGCCCAGATTGAACCCCCTTTGATGCCTTTCCGCGATGCAGGCTACAGCCAGGCAGACTACGGTATCACTGTTCAGGATGTTGTATATGGTGTGTGGAAGGCCAAGGAGGAGGGCTGCTGCGCCTTGGACAACTTTGACCTGGACGAATACGAAAAATACGAAAGAGTCGAGCATGGCGACTTCAACTGGGTCACGCCTCACTTCCTGGCGTTTGCCTCGCCGCAACATAGTCCTGTGGCCAAGGTCGATCAGAACAGCGATGCCTGGGCCATGGTGCCCAAGACCCTGGCTGCCGTTGAGGCCCACCCTAGCCTGCCTCAGCCATTCAAGAACGTCTTGAGTCACTTTGACGAGCGCAATATCGGCCTGGTCGTCCGTCTCAACTCGCCTCTCTATTCGCCTTCGTACTTCGAGGCCCTCGGAATCCAGCACCTGGACATGATCTTCGAAGATGGCACATGTCCCCCGCTGAGCACAGTTCGCAAGTTCATCAGGCTTGCGCACGAGACCATCACTGTCAAGAAGAAGGGCATTGCGGTCCACTGCAAGGCTGGTCTTGGTCGCACAGGTTGCCTCATAGGAGCGTACCTGATCTACCGCCACGGCTTCACTGCGAACGAGATCATTGCATTCATGCGGTTCATGAGACCCGGAATGGTTGTTGGACCCCAGCAGCACTGGCTGCACCTCAACCAGGGCGTCTTCCGAGAATGGTGGCTTGAAGAGAGAATGGAGCGCAAGCTAAGAAAGGAGATGGCTGCCAACCCCCAACCCAGCACACCGATTCGGGCCATGCAAAAGACTTCCTTGGGCCGCACCAACTCGACACCCCACAGGTCAGGTTCAGGCCGCACCCCTCTGGGCGAGGTCGACCAGGAACGTAACAACATCGGCGTTCAAGAGGACTACCTCCCCGCGCCAACGCCAGGCCAGCCGCGCAAGACCAGCCGGGTTGATCGCCACCATCCTTACCAGCGTAACCCGATCAACGCAACCGTTGAGGAAGAGGAGGGCGCCGGCCGCGAGACCGAGATCATTTCTGTTCACAAACAGTCCACGGGCTCTGAATCGGAGGAAGAAATCCACCTGCGTACGCGAACCCACCGTAAAGCTTCACAATCGCCCGCGCGAAGTGAGAAGTCGAGGTCGATCAGCCATACTACGACAACCACAACTGTCTACGAGGTCATTGACAATGACGCTTCCAACGATGCCGAGAACATCGGCAGCGGTCGTCCCAAGAACATTGAGCAGATCGCCTCGTCTCCTACTCGCTCAGCTAGTGCCTCTGGCGTTCTGACGAAAGTACGGAGCAGCAAGCGTTCCACGGACTCGAGTCGATCTTCGGGTTCCACTCAGTCCGGCGTTCGCAAGACAAGTGGACGTGTGGGCAGTGTCAATACCTCGCCGAGCAACACGGCGCGCAAGGTGTCGGCGGTATAGGAGTCTCGGCCCTTGCCTCCCGCTGTTGCCAGGTGATTCTTTCGTTTCGATATTGCATATTCGTCTCGTATCGATTTGATAATTACCATACGGGTAGCCTTGGCAACGTGGATTCACGATGATGATAACGATCACGACCGGTTATGTCCTATGCATGCTATGGCGTTTTTGAGTATCGACAACACGGGATAGGAAGACCTCCTATCTCTCCTCGTCCCAATAACATACTTCCCCCGCCTGCTCCTCCGCCAAGCGGCTGGTTAGCTGCAAGATATCTTTTCCACATTCGGAACCCGAGTCATACTCAAAATCTTTCTCAGGCGTTTCTGGTCTTTTTGGGGGGTTCATCCGGAACGGCTCTGGGTCTCGTTTGCATCATGTTTTTGGTTTGGTCCGGGTCTTGTGTAATGAGTACTTTGAGTCATGATATGTCAGAGTTGAAAGAAGGTGTCCAGGGGCGGAAAGCATTTGGAGTCGGCGGACTTGGATGCTACGTTGAAGTATGACTGTCCATTAGGAAACACGTTGATATGATGAATAGTTTCTGGGATTCGTTCAGGCGTTATTGCATTAATACATTACACAAGTACAAACAAGAATTGCTCCTTGAGGCTCAACTAGCCTAAACGTGACCGTGTTCTAAACAGCGCGCCCTTTGCACAATCCATCCATCTTTTTGGCAGCGTTGTTGACCTTTCGGTGTCGCCTGTCGTGCCCACATACATGTTTGCAAGTCTTACAGAAAGCTGCCACACGGACCTAGGATTAAGAGCGCGCGTTGCAGAATCTTGTTCTTACCGATCCTCCCCAAGCAAAAGATGCCTCTCACACCGCCATAGCTGGCGAGTACATTTTCAATTTTCACCCCTGCGGTGCTAACGCCGGGGATTCGCGACCACCATAACAGCGCCGACGATGCAAAAGTCTTAGTTATAAGTGCGTTGGTGTCGAGGCATGTAACAGGCACTGCTTGGCCTGGCTCGACACTCCAAACTGGCGGCAACCTATAATTGTGCAACGTATTATTCTCGTTTATAGTGTTGTCTCCGTGCGATGCCGGGTCAATCGACAGCCGCCGGGGCTCTGCAAACACCACGTCGGTATGCGGACCGTTGTACACATCCCGCTGACCGCTATCCACTGGTGTGTTTCATGTCAAGTGCACGATAGATCCCAGCGTGCGCCGCAACCGTCGAATCTGAGACACACTGACGAACGTCGAAGCCATCCAGCCCGCTTTTATCCCCTGCGCCTTTTGCGCCCACTGCAGCCAATGTCTGCTTGCAGTAGTCAATCCTGGCCATGTTCGCGTCATCGGTTTTTGTTGTTTCCTCACCAGAAATCCGCCGCAGGGCCATAATTGTTCTGTATATAGACGCTCGGCTCTTTAACTTCCTATAAAACGCATTGGCGCCATGATATGATAGGCTATGAAACAACCCCCCCGGCGTGCGATCGGACGGCCTACGTATAAGTCAGTACCACTGCTGTTCCTCTCGTGCCGGACTTGGCTGCACAGGAAAGCTTAAATGCTAACAAATAGTCCGAAGGAAGAGGTTTCGCGCGCAAGGACTTGCGCACGCAGGGGAACACTCCGCTCTCGCCGTCCCCAAGTCCGCAGGCCCGACCGCCGGCGGCGATGGCGAGCCGCAGGCCCAGCAGCAGCAGCCGGAGCGGGACGAGGGAGGCATCACGATGCCATCGACAGAAACGCCCAGCGTCGCCGGCACCGACGAAGCAGCCATGGCGCCGGTCAGAACGAGACGGAGCAGGGCATCGCCAACGGCCATCCTGGCCATGCCGTTAAGGGGTCTTCACCGCAGGCTGCGGCCGTGGCATCTGTTCGTCGCCCTCGGCGCGGCCGCCGTGGCCATGGTGCTGTCGATAGTCCTGGTCCATGTGCGCGATCAGCAGCGGATGGCGGCTCTAATCGCGGTGCAGGTCGATGTAAGTGTCATGCGGGGTCTCTCCTCAATCGTCTGCCTCCTCTCCCGCCTCGCCCCCATTCACCCCGACTTAGACGGGGATCTATACCTCTAATGACACCTTACCCCTCTCTTTTACAGAAAACCCTATTCCCTGTTCTTTGCATATCTAGAGATGAGGGGGCGAGCTCCCGTCCCTCTTCCCACATGGAGACAGCATCATAGGAGATGGGCCCCGGGAAAGTCATGCCATTTGCAATGTTGGGATCCCTGTTATTATACGCTTCGGTGGCGGCGGCGGCGCTGACCAGACATCATGAGCAGACGCCATCTGACCCGAGCAAGGCGAGGGTGAACCTGGGCTACGCCCAATATCAGGGAACGGTTCTTGGGAATGGCGTGGGCCAGTATCTGGGACTGCGTTACGCCCGGGCGCCGACGGGAGATCTGCGTTGGCGGGCTCCCGTCGAGCCCGAGACAATCCGCGGAGACCAAGCCGCGGACAGTGTGAGTCTGGAGGGAATCGGAAGGGGCTTCTTGCCCTGTGACGACGTTGGAAGCGTGACGGACAGGCTGACAAGTGATGTATCAGTTCGGTAAAATTTGCCTGGGTATATCGACTTCGCTGCCGAGCAACTCGGAAGGGACCGACTGTCTCTTCGCAAATGTGTGGAGCCCTGCAAATGCTACAGCTGGGTCAAAACTGCCGGTCTGGCTCTTCATTCAGGGCGGAGGTTCGTGCCAATGGAGTCACATTTAGTTTGTATTGTACTAAGTTGTTCTTTAGGCTATACAGTCAACAGCAATGCGAACTATAATGGCTCACAGGTTGTCGAGAGCTCCGGCGGCAACATCATCTTCGTGAACTTCAACTACAGAGTTGGGCTGTGGGGTTTCCTTGCTAGCGAAAGGATGAGAACAGGTGCCGACCTGAATGTCGGGCTTCTGGATCAGCGAATGATGATGAAATGGGTCAAGAAGCATATCGCTCAAGTAGGTTTTTGCTTGTCTGAAACACATTCGTGAAACGAGAGACTGCAGAGTACATACTCATACTTGGTGTTAGTTCGGAGGCGACCCTGACCATGTTGTCATCCACGGCGTCTCAGCTGGGGCGGGTTCTGTGGCCCTCCACATGGCAGCGTATGGCGGCAAAGACGAAGGCTTGTTCCAAGGCGCCGTCGCGAGCTCTGTCTTCTTCCCGGCTCAGCCGCGGGTGTCAGAATTAGAATGGCAGTTCGATCTGGTATTGAGCCAGACTGGATGCAGTGACGCTGAGGACCCCTTGGCCTGTCTGCGCTGCCAGGACGAAGAGACACTACAGGCGGCCAATGTTCCATCTGCGTTTCCGGGAAGGCCTTCCACTGGCTTGCCATTGTTCTACTGGACCCCGTCTGTGGACGGTGACCTCATACGAGACTATCCCTATGTCATGTTTGCCAATGGAGACTTCATCGATGTGCCGGTGATCTTTGGCACAGACACAAATGGTAAGTGGCGTCTTATACTTGCCGCCGAGGACTTACGTGATCGGCTGACTTGCTTCGTAGAGGGTTCTTACTTTGGCGCCAACGCATCGACGGAGGAGGAAGTCGCTGTCTTCCTTCAGAACAATTACCCACTCCTGACTACAAATGAGACCGACAGGATCCTCGAGCAGTACCCGCTCATGGACCCTGTTCCCTTGCACAACGCCTGGTTTCCGTCCGCCTCCATGGCGTATGGGGAGTCCACCTTCATCTGTCCCAGCGTCCACATTCTCGACTCCATCCAGACTTACGGCCAAGGCGCATCCCGCGCATGGTCCTACCGGTACGACGTTCTCAGCCCCGAGAATGCCGCCGCGGGCTTGGGCGTCCCCCATACGTGGGAGACGTGGGCCATCTTTGGGCCTGACAGCATCAACGGCATCGGTATGGGTCCGCCGAGCTACTATGGCGCCGACGCGGCGATAGTTCCGGTAGTTATGGACTACTTGATCTCATTCGTCCAGACGCTGGACCCGAATGCAGATAGGTTCCCTGCGGCGCCGGAATGGTCGACATGGGGCGTCTCCGAACAGCGGCTCAGGTTCGATACCGGGAATGTCTCCATGGAGAAGATACCCGAGGATCTGAAGAGTCGATGTGATCTATGGAAGGATCTGGCAACTATTACGCAACAATAAACGCGGTGAGGCATGGGTCACTCTTATTTGGGGGTTGTAGATACATGAAGCTCATACTACGCTACTTTCACAACACAATATCTTATCACCATTTCAATTGGCTTGTGGAATTGCTAGCCACCAGATATGTATGAAAAGATTATGAAGTATGGGGCTTCTGATAACGTATAGTTTCTGTCGCCCTCAAGGTCGAGTTTCATTGGTGCCTTGGAAATTCGGGCAACTCTGTAGCCCGTTCTTTGTGATGCTACGACTAGTATATCTAATGTCCATACTTTGGCGATTCGAGGTTCATGAGGCTTTTCGTTCAGTACCGGAAGCGAAATGCCCACGGATGCACTCAAGAGAGCGTCGAAGTCAGGGGTTCACAGCGCATATCAAGTTGTTCATGGTGTCTTTTCTACCATTTATTTTTCTTTGTGGCAAGCTTCAGTTACTCCGGCTTTGCAAAGTGGTTCTGAAAAAGAGCCACTACCTTCAAACGGTCTCCTTGGGCGTTCCACAGGGAATGGCAAGGAATGACTGCCCCAAAGGGTGACTGTTCGCCAGATTGATGCCCGTCTAGTTCCTTTGAGGATAGGCCATTTGCATCCGTATAAGAGAGATACGGAGGGACATTTGCCCATTCTCCCTGCAGTTGACCTCCTGCCGTGGTCTCGAGAGTATTTTTTATTCCATCTGCCACAGCGGACGTTACGCCCTCCAACAGCGATGAGAGGGGCGCAGTCTTTTCCGTTGCGAAGGCAGCAGTAGTGTGGATGAACAATCCGTCCGCATTGTCAACCACGACATGCTGGATCTCGAGACTACCATTACAATCCGAGACCACCACACCGTACGTCGAGTTAACGACGGATATGGACCCTGGGCTTACCTTTGCCAGACCAAGATGGGCGTGCCATTCTACGCCAGCGCCTCGAGGCAGTTCCTGAACCTCTGCAGCGAAAACGTAGGGAATGGGTCTTGTCTTTTGGTCGTCATCTATATCGAAACCCCTCAGGCTTTCCCAATCAGGGAGGTCAGTTGTTGAAGAGGGCTGGTCGGCGCTTGCCAACGTCATGAACTGAGGATTATATGTCCGATCCCACAGATCTGGGCCCCCTTCATCGTCTGAATCAACACCGGCTACTGACCATAGGTGGGTTGTTCGCCATGCTTGGGCTGTTAGGGTTGCCATCTGCTTCATAGTGGCAGATGAAGAGGCCCTGGGGAAATAAGCCACAGCGCCACTCCACCATTGAGTGCGCATCTCAAGACCAATGCGCCAAAGATGCTGTAATGACAGGGTTATCTGCATCGCCACAGCATCTGGAGAGTCAGGTGGGAATACCATCGGCGCAGGTAAGAGTGGTATCTGGCCCGCTATAGTAATGGCCTTTGTACCATGGTCGTTATATGATCCTTCGGCCCCGCTGTGCGAGACATTCAGGGGGAATGTGATAGCTTGGCTATAGGGGCCGATGTTTGCAGGCGCCCAGTACGATCTGGACTGTACATGAAGGCCCTCCCTGGCATTTGGAGGGAGTTGGGAGTTGACGGTGAGGTATATGGCTATTTGGGACTCAGGGGGTAGTAGATCGCCACAAGAAATAGTAACTCGCGCAGGCGGGTTAGGCTCCGTAAACAAAGAGCCGTACAACTGGTTGATTGTTGGGAAGTCTGACATGTGCCTCAAGATAATGATCGAGTTAGTGATGGCGTTAGCTGTAAGCGAGGACTCGCTGAGCTGCTGCCGGATTTCAGCTATAATCTGCGCAGTCTGCTCTGTAACAGCCACCTCAGACGTTTTGCCAACGTAACACCACTGGTGGCTCGTCGACGGTCTTGTCTCAACATTGATCGTTGGTAGAGGTCCGCCCGGTAGAGTATCCTCTACTCTGTCAGCTGAAGCGAGATCGCTCGTTTGCAGTCCGTCCAAGACTGACTGAAACCGAGGATCAAGCAGTTCAGGTATGCGAACTCCATTTGCAGCGGCACCCTGTGGAGCGGCTTTCAACTCGACACGTGCGTCGCGGATACTCAGCCATGTACTGCCTCCGCCCTCACGCACGACCCTTCGGCCTGCTTCTCCGACCACGATCCTCCCTTTGAACAGTGCAGGCGGGCCGTCAAGGACCAAGGTCTCAAACTCGCCTCCCTCGCCAAGCACGGATCCGCGATCGCCCCCGCCAAACCGCCTTAAGGCTCGCTTCATGCGCTGAACGGTCCGGTCGGTGGCCACGTTCTCCCAGAGGAAGTCTTCGTCCAGACCCGCGCTGGCCACCTTTACGATGCGCGCCTCCAAGCCCACATCCGCCATGTCACGAAGTAGCTGAGCATCGTCATCGCTGCTATCTCGGTCCCGGGTCCCGGTCCTTAGTGCGGACTGATCCCCAGCAATGCCAGCTGTGGCTTCAGCTCTAGCTGTAGGCAGCGGGAGAACGGGGTACTGCCATAGGTAGGCGAGAGGCACGAGACCCAGACGTAGTGCCACAGATTCGATACGGGTCCTCTGGTAGGTAGACAAGATGGCGCCAGTGCATAAAGCATTGGCCTCGGGATGATCTGCGATAACAGCACGAAGCAAAGGGACCAGCGACTCAGTCTCGTCCTCCAAGCCCTGGCCCGCGCCAGGCTGTGGTCCAGAGCCCGAGTCAGGCGCACCCGCTGTGCTGGTTGGGAGTTGAGGACCCTGGTAGCTCACGCCGTGCTGGAGTGTAGTGCCAATGATAGCTTGTCGGAATAGAGGCAAGCCGGTGGCCGCGGCGTATAGTGGGATCGCCTGGTGGCCGACCGTCTGGTACATGAAGCTATTGAGGTCCGTCTCGTCCTCTTCGCCGTCAAGGTGGTGATCATTGGTACCACCGGATCCCAAGGGTGAACCGTGCTGCGGTGCGCCCGGGGCCACGGATGCTACCCGCGCCGTGGTGCTCTCTGGCGGGTGCAAGTTGGCCAAAGCCACGATGCGGTGGCCATTGGCCAGACAGTGCAGGGCAGAGAAGAAGCTGTCCTTGCCGCCGGAGACCAGCGCAATGACGTTCAGAGCTTCGGGCGCCATCTCGGTTGCAAGGAGATTGGCGGCGAGTCATTGGCCAAGCCGGAATACGGAGGGGGATGGATTGCCTCTATCGAAGACCCTTCGCTTCCCTTCTAGGCCCAAAATGACACTGTTCCGAGGAGCGTGCACCTGTCAAAGTGAGGGAGGGTGCGTTGGCGTGCTCGAGGAAATGCCTGGCTGTGGATGGGCTGAAATTTAGCTCTCCCACAATGGTCCCGAAATTTTGCGGCCGGCCTGAAGATCGTGCCTTGGCGACACGGATGACCAAATTGGCAGAAACAGCGTATGGCAAAGGTCGAGCTGGCCCTGGAGATCTCGAGGATGCGAGATGCTAGCGGCCGGGGAAATGAGTTCTACTTGTACTAGGGAGGGATGTACTTCCCATTTCAGGCTGGTGACAATCTTGCATCTTCGTCAGGTCGTAAGGGATCCACGGGCTCGCCCGTCTAGTCCGCAGACTAAATCATGGACGAAGATCTGGGATCTGTCTGGAGATCAGGGTCCAGCGAAACTTCCAACATGGGATTCCCTTGAATCGCTCATGAACTTGTGCAGAGCAACCAGAATTGGGGGCACTAATCATTGTTGTCGTCGTCCTAGAGATAAACCTCGCATAACATTTACGTATGTCACTAGGGAGAATGCACGATCGAGACAAGAATGTTTTTGACGGCGAAGGTAGGTTTTCAATTCCTATCTGTACAAATGCAAACAGCTATAGCACTGTGACCAGCACACCGCATAGGCTATCGCAATGCAGGAAGTGTTGCAACTCTTAAAAAAAAATAAACACGAAGGACGGGAGAAGACCGTGGCCAACCCACCGCCAGATGAACATGTCCTGTAGCGAGCACGGCCAACCAGTCCCCGTCTGCTGAGTAATTACAACGAGCGTAAAGAAATGCAGGCCGCCAAAAGAAAAAAAAAAACTTGGGTGTGTCAAAAGCCAAAATGTCATTCGCAATGGCGCTGTGTATGTAGCAATGGTTCCGTTTACGCCTCACTCCCCCATTCCGTGTTGCCCGTAGACTGCCAAGCCTCCCCGAGGTTTTCCGTGAGTGTGAACAAAGTCTTGGTAGAATATTGTTACAAGAAGGCAAGTTCATGCTTGTAAATCAGTTGAACTTTTGATCCTCTAGGTGACCCTATGACCTTCCGCGTGAATGTTTGCGGCCTTGGTCGAAAGTGAAGAATTCGTCATGTCGTGTCGGGCATAGTCCGCAAGGATCGCTGATCCTCGTCGGATTTCTTCCTGATAGATAGAAGATGTGACAACTTCTATGCGGATCTCTTGCGCTTCTTGCCAAGACCATCACTGGACTCATCTGAAGAAAGCTCGCTGCCGCTGCTGCCCGGGACCTCGCTAGCGACTTGAAAGAGGACCTTGCCGAAGTTTTGGAAGTCGGCGTCGCTCTGCGGCATGAGGTCAAGGCCACTCTCCCCATCATCGATGAGGTTCATGACAATAGCCCCACTGCCATGTGTTCTGGCGTGCTGAGCGAGGTTGTCGCTTCTTGAGAACTTCTTGCCGCACTCATTGCACTCGAAAGGCTTGTCCTGAGTGTGGAGAGATCGGTCTGGTTGCAGGTTAGAACAAGATCTTCGGGGCACAAATATTGCATGTTCTGAGCAAGGCCCTGGAGGGGACAGTGGACTTACGGTGTCTCTTGAGGTGTTCCTGGCGGCGGAAGCGGCGGTTGCACAGGTCGCAGTTGAACTGCTTGGTGGGGTCCTCTGTCAAGGACTGCTTCCGGCCGCGGCGGTTAGCGGGCGCGGGCAAGGGGGGAGGAGCAGATGCGTCTCGTGCGCTTGACGAGGCCTCGGTGTTGTTTGTCTCGGAGGGCTGTTCCTGGGGGGTGGGTTGCTGAGCGCTGTTACCGGCGTCGTTGGAATCGGCCGCGACGTTCATGGTGGGCATGTCTGATTCCTTCGTTGACTTGACCTTCTTGGCTGGGCGGTGATCCGACGGAGCACTTTCGGGGGTGGCCAGGCCAGTCACAGCAACCGAGGTGGTGTCCTCGTAGTCAATCTCACCCTCGCCGAGGAAGGAAGACAGAGTGGTTGAGCAGGTGGCTGAGCGGGATCGCTTCAGGTCACCTGCAGGCTTCTCTCGGAGGTCAACAATGCCGTTCAGGAAATCCTCCTCGGATTCCAGATCGGAAAACTCGTCAAAGGACGGCAGGCCGTGATGAAGCTCGGGGTGGAACTCGAACGAGGCCAGCGCGGTTGGCCTCAGCGCGTCACCCTTGAACTCTTCAATGACGGCGGGGGCGGTGAACTCGGTGGCGCCGGCACCGTTGACGCTGAGGATGTCGCGAGGGTTGATGCACTCGGATGTGACTGAGCTTGGTCCGGGTTGGGAGAGGTAGACTGGATGAGGGTTAGTTGTGTTTGGCCCCGAAATATTGGACTGTGACAATTGCCAATTTTAAAATGCTCCGGTGCCCCGCTCAACTCGAGCCGGGGGCGCGAATGCCTCAACTTCCGCATGCTCCAGCCAACCTCACTTCAATAAAAACGATGGCGGCCGGCGCACGCACCCCCGGCCCGGCGCGATGGAGTAGCAATAGTAATGGAAATGATGGACCTACCAGGTGTCAACGGAGGCGATCCGCAGTTTGACCAGTCCAGACCCTCAATTCCCTCGGGGATCACGTCCACGTCGGGTTTGACGCTCTCGTACCCGTCCAGGCCAGAGAACATGGGGTTCAGAGGAGTCGCCAGAATGTCACTGCTGCCGGGGCTTCCAACATTGCTGCCGGAAGTGGACAGAGCTGGTGTGGCCGGGTAGTATGCGTTGTCGCTGTCGTACATGTCCGTCTCGAGCATGAGCTTTGCGGCACCATTCTGTAGCATGATGGTTGGCTTTCGAGAGGCCATCTGGGGCGAGGCCATCGGGGTCAGGTTCGAAGGGACCACGTTGAACATCTTGGCTGCCACCTGGGGCTGCGAGCATGAGGAGCTCGGTCGCGAGTAGACTGGAGTCGAGGGCAGTGTGGGCACAACGGGGTACATTTGCATCTGCTGGAGAGCTGGCTGCTGGCTGAAGTGGCCGTGCTGTCGATTTTCCGGACTCGGGTCCGGGTTATAGTAGAAGAAGGGCGCAGGTCCCATCATCTGCGAGGCCATCATGTTCGGGTCCATGTCTGGTGCCAGGTCAGAATTGCTCTCGTTTCCGTCTTGCTTGGCGGGCCAGCTAACCTGATGCGAATTGTGTTTTCTTTGCTCTTTCGCGTTGGCTGAAGCAGGCGCTCTTGTCTTGCTTTATGAATTAAGGTAGTTGTTGTAAGTGGTGTGTACTATACAGTATGATCGTAGGGCGATTTGGCCAAAAGACGGTGGTTCGGTTCCGATCGGAAGGAATGGACGACAGTCTTGACTTGGATATCAAAGACCGTCTTGCTTGACTGTGACTCAAGTGTGGTGGTTATACATAGGCTTTGCTTGGGACGAGACGCCGTAGGTTCTTGTCCGAAGGGCAGTCTTCCGGGGAAGGGGACACGACGACTTTGTATACAAAAATGAAGGGATGGATTATCGAGATGGCTCGAGTGTTTCCAAAGACAAAAGGTCACAGAACAAACAGGAACCGATAGGTTATGAAGAAAGAGAGAGACCACTCCAAAGTAGACCGATTTGTCGATCACAGGCTGGGTGGGAGAATGAGCGACGGTGGTTGAAGGGACCTAGAGGATAAGTATGATTCCAAGACGATCAACCCATTGATAGGCACATACTGGGACCAGTATCCTAGTTGGAATGGGGATCCAGCGGGTGGGTGCCATCCATGCCTAGCTGTCTCACTCCCAGTCCCTCAAGGGCATAGCCCGGTCGAGGACCAGAAGCGGACGACGGTGCGATCCCTGTCACCTTGTCTTTTGGAAACTTCAGATGAGTGGTCGAGAGGGGTGGATGGCTGGCGCAGCACTAGTGGTGTACCGTACTATCTTTGGACGCGAAGTATACTGCATCCAAGGTACCTCGATGACGGTGCATAACACCCACATCACTAACACGAGCCATCGCTCTAGCGGGCCCTAGCGTGCCACTGTGCAGCTCGCCAGGGCCGTCGGCTGCCCTTCGTGCCAACAGAGGCGTCCCGTTTGGTAGGGTGTGGTGCCAATCCTCATTGGCATGCCACGGAGCCATGCACGTCGAGAATTGTGAATGCCACCTTATGAAATGGCGGATGGGTTCATAACATGCTATGATAGGGTGGCACGCATGTGGGTGAGTCTGACTTGCCTGCCAGTCGCCGACCCCGTATGCCCTTTTGCCTCTGCACGGATACCACCACCTCGTCCAGTCAGGCAGGGCCTCTGGGCACGGCGTTTCGCCCGCTGTGGGCGGGAGGTGCACTCTTGGATCTCACGGGACGTGGCCTCGCTACTGTGTACGGGCAGCAGTGTGATACCTCTGGTCATTGGGTGCCGTCTGCTCCGCCGCAGCTTGAACAAACAACTCATTGGATCGTCATTAGCTTTGAGTGCACGGAGAGCGAGAAACATGCGAAACGCTGGTGATCTGTGACGACGACCATGCTATGGGCCATGGTACGAGGGACGGCCCAGGCGGAGGAAGCCCGGTTCGGCCTCGCAGGGCATTGCGTCTGACGGTCATCCTGGCACCCATCATCAATGCTATTATCGGCTGCCTCTAAGAATATCCCGAGAGCGTGCCGCTCGGAAAACAAGACCGATAATATCTCATACTTTGGGCCATGATACGACGTGCTATGCACTGCGGCAGAAAAAGAACACATGCGCGTTCCTGACTCTGGCTGAATCCTGCCCTGCAACGGTTGATGGTGTTCAGGCTCAGAATAGGCGGCTGTGATAGGGCGGCGTGCGCTCGCATGTCGCGCCTGCATGTGTAGTGCGCACCTAAGGCCAGGCGGGTATCATGCAAGCTCTTTACTCTAACTGGCGCGCCAGGCTGGCCAGAGAAACACTGAAACCGCCGTTTGCGCGCCCGAGGAGTGCTGGTAGGTCAGTTGCGTACGCCATGCTCGTCATCGTCCGTCGCAAGTTCTGTCAGCTTCCAGCATGATGGTAGTAGAGGTGCGCCTGGCTTGACTCCGACTGTGTGGGTAGTCTCGTCGCTAGCGACGAGAATGGTGCCCTCCGGCCGGGTCACTACTGTCACCTTGTGCCAGAGTAAAGCCACCACCCACTCGCAATGTTGACAGCGGCAGTCCGCCTCAGCCATATCCTGCCAACTAACATGTCGTCTTCCCTGAATGGCGTCTTTCCCCAGGGGACTCTCCCCTTGGCTTGTCGTACAGTCCACCAGCATAGCTGCCGCCATTCGATGGAGGCGGGACAAGTGAGCGAGTCCGGCGCCGCCTCGTCCCCGCCGCTACCTGACACGACGTCGAATCTAGGCGTCCCAGCATGTGGGTTGCTAGGCCATGGGCCTTCGCGGAACCTGCCTAGATTCCCATTTGTTGCTTGATGGTGAATCAACGATCATGGCTAACAAGGGCTCATCAAACGAGAAAGTGGTCCTATACGCTACTGAAGAAGCCGCCGGCAACACGATCCATAGATGACAAGTGATACATGGTACTCGTTTACAATGAGTGACCGGCAAAGCAGTGTGACCAAGTATTTCCAGTCTATTCGACCTCGTGTCCCGAGACTGCAGCCAATCCGACATGAGTGGCCAATTCAAACCGTCAATGAGCAAGTAAACAGTTTGGCAATTGCAATTTTGTAGCCGTGCAGAGATGCTCGCGTGCTTCGTTGGCGTTCATCGACGTCGTGGTCATGGATTACACAGTATACTACGGACCCCATCCGACATGCACCATTACATACATAGTATGACATGACTACCTTTTCCTTGACGATTCATTATCCACCCGTCGTGCCCCGGTGCCAAGACCCTTCTATCTACGTAGTGCACCCACCTCGTTTCATTACGAAGCTCCCCAGCTGCTCAAGCTAATGCTGGCATCGCATAATGTATTTGTACGCTGCATTATCTCGTACCCTGGTCCAGAGCTTCGGCCCAAGCATCCCGATAGGAAAGGTTAGTGGCGATCAATGATCAGCCACGCCGTTCAGCGCACCGACAACTGTAACAAACCACTCGGGGGCCTGTCAGAATTCCATTCGCTTGCTAGGTACCAGCTATTACTGTTACGACCATGGGCATGTTCCCAGGCCATGTGCAGGAACCGACCAATCATTTTGACGGCTCATTGATCGGCCTACCACACAAGAGGTGTCCCTTGCAGGTTTCTTCCTGCAGGAACGCGCATAAGTCTTGTTCTATTCGACGATTGTGCAGCACGCACAGAACACACAGCCTTGATGTGGGGGGAAAATAAAAAATTTCTTCAACGAAAGCTGTAGACACGGAGAGACGTGTCATCGGCATTCATCCGTTACGGGGAAACAAGCACTGGCCTCCAATTCCCAGCATCAGGTTTCCCGTGCGGTACAGTGGATTTCGATAATGACAAGTTGCTCGTCATTTCACGGTCTATGCAAAGCCTCCACCTTCTAGTATACTATGGTACGCGATCAATTGCCAAGGCACGGACTGATTTATCTGGTGGCTTGAATTTGCTGGGGGCAGAGATTTCAAGCAAGCATGGGTGTCCCGGCCCCCATTATCTCGGAACATGTACTACGAAATGCTACAGCCACGTGCAGCTCGCCAGACTGCAAGAGGACATAGCTTGGCGATAGTGAATTGGGAGTGATAACTCGAGCAGATCGCCCGCTGGCTATACCGCATTCAATACTTTCAGTACGCCATGCACAGATACATGAACTGAGCTAGACAAGGCAAACAGTCGATCATTGAAAAACCTCCTCGTCAGGAACCGAGGCTTGGAGAAGGAGATGCCCGATAGGCCATCCAGGTTCTATGGGCTGATCATACCTGGCTGCCTGGCAGAGTCTGGGTGTTCCCCCCGTCGTGCTCCATGCTCGTTATGGTGCCATTCGACCTGCAACGGTGACATGGGACAGCGTCCAGAGCTTCCGAGACGCATTGCAGTATGAGCCCTGGTCGCAGGCCCCATTGAGTCCCAAGTCACCGGAACCTCAATTTACCTACACTGTACTATGTACTAGTTCCTCAAACGCTGCAGCAGTTTGCTACATACCAAGACTGAGGGACGTGTCCAGCAGAAGATAGTCCAGAATTCTGGTAATTCGGGGTTTTGATTGCCGTCTTTCAGGGTCCAGGTCATTGCAATCATCACATGTAGGTATGATCACAGTCTGGGAGAACAGACCATGCTGGACTGACAGCATTGTCGGAATCTGGGAACGGCCCGCGGTTAGGAAGAAATCAGACTTGCACCCCGGATTTGCGCAAGACTGAAGGGTTTCCCTGCCCTGATGAAAGCCGTTACGTAGCTACAGGGGCACGTTCCTTAGCACGCCCGGGGATGCACACCCGGCATGATAGAGCGGCGACGCGGAACCCTTCGCAAGGGTTTGGTTGGAGCAGTACGTAATTAATAATGGTGATATTGCGGTACTATGGTACTCTCCAGTCCTTGCAAGAACCCAGCTCTGCCTGCCATGTCTGTGTGGCCGCTCAATGCTAGCAGTAGTCATGGTTGGGTGTTCTGGAAGATTGGAAGATCATTTGCCGGCAAATATTGGAACCAACCATGTCTCTGGGATTGACAGGGACCCAATCGGTCCTAAGCAGTGTCATGGGCGAACCAAATAAGCGGGCCGAGGAACTTGCGGTGGCAAACAGGCGACGCCCGGATACCTTCCCAGACGAGTAATAGACGAGAATCCATCTTGTCGTGACGCCTGGGGGGCTCTGCCATCTTCTGAATCCGTGACAAATCTGTGGCCAGTCCATATGGATAGGATCAATGGGTTCGACAAGAAAGGCCAGGATAGCACCTTAGCCCCTGCTTCTCTGGTATCTCACAGACCCACGGCCACGTTCGAGTGCGCAGTCGGTCAAGAGTTCCTGGACATGGTTTAAGCACCGGGGTGCAATACACACAGAGTATGGTCTGGTCCCAAGAACCATCAATGTGCGGGGCTAAACCATCTACTCGTGTCGCTAATGCAGGTCCATCAGCCGCGGAAACGCCCATTGGCGGACCAGGCCCTTGTTGCTGGGTTTCTAGAAGGTGTTTCAGTATCTTCTGTTGCTGT